TGCGCAGCCCAGAGCCGTACCACTCCTCCTCCTCCTCCTCCTCCTCCTCCTCCTCCTCCTCCTCCTCCTCCTCCCCTTCCTCCTCCTCCTCCTCCCCCTCCTTCTCCTCATCCTTCCTCCTCCTCCTCCTCCTCCTCCTCCTCCTCCTCCTCCTCCTCCTTCTCCTCCTGTTCCTCCTACTCCTCCTCCCTCCTCCTCCCCTCCTCCTCCTCCTCCTCCTCCTCCTCCTCCTCCCCTCCTCCCCCTCCTCCTCCCCCTCCTCCTCCCCCTCCTCCTCTCCTCCTGGCCCTACCTTCTCCTCCTCCTCGCTCCTTCTCCTCCTCGCTTCTTCTCCTCCTCGCTCCTCCTCCTTCTCCTCGTATTTTTTCTCCCCCCCTCTGCCACCGTGCTCCCCCCGGCCGGCTCCCCAGTCCTTGCCCGGCACCACGGCGATGGCGTCCTCCGCGCAGGGGAGAGCGCGCCCGGAGGCGGGAGCAAGGTGGCAGGGGGCAAGCTGGGCATCGGGGAGGCCCTCCCACTCGTCCTCCTCCTCCTCGCTCCTCAACGTCGCTCCTCAACGGCGCTCCTCAACGTCGCTCCTCGGCCCCTCTCCTCCCTGCTCCTCGCTCCTCCTCGCTCCTCCTCGCTGCTCCTTGCTCCTCCCTCCGACTGCTCCTCGCTCCTGCTTCCTCGCTCCTCCTCGCTTCTCCTTCCTCGCTCCTCCTGCCTGTTCGCTCCTCCCTTACGGGTCGGCAGCGGACTTAAAGGTCACACTACATGCTGAGGGGGACAGGGAGCATAACCAAGAGGTGATCAATCTGCGATACGGACAGACGAGGCGGTTCGTGAGGAGTGAACGTAAGGAGCAAGCTCCGGAATGATTTAAGGATCGGCACCTCAAGAAAGACGGTACAATTCAGAATAGCGCGGGCGGGCACTAGCATGCAATGCTGCTTAGCTTATTCGGCTGGATGTTTGAAGGGGCGGGGAGGCGAAGAGGAACCTGATGGTACGCAAACGACGGAGGGATGAAACTGAAAGTAACTAGGGTGTCGTGTAGGTTCAGACATCGTATGTTCATGCTGGGGAGGTGAGGGGAGAAGACGATCTGGAACCTTAAGAACACATGGCAAACTAAAAGGGATAATCCATTGGGTCTGCCTCACGTCATCACCGCAACACGGGAGGTTCAGTACGACTATGCTCTAACATACTATTGGTGCATCGCCGCACGGTCCAGGACATCTCACGCGCTCGGTGTACCGCTTGAGAGGCAATGGTGGGGTCCAGGGCCTAGGGCGGTGGTGTACGAAGTACGTCTCCTTATCGCGATGGCCATGGCGGCGGCAGCGGCCGTTTTCTTCTGCGAGCGGATGGAGCCGCTAGCAACTGAATGGAGCTTCTTGTATGCTCACAGCTTAGCATGGGGGAAACGGGTCCTGAGAGAAACGAGTCCTTGACCCCAGGGCCTCCCTGGACCCCAGGGCCCCCCCCCCGGACGAGATCTTCATCCTTAGTCGTTTTCTGACAGTCCCGTGGACCGTGGAGGGCCCCGAGAGCCCGAAAAAGGCGAAACAAATTCAGGACCCTTTGCCTGCAGGACCATGTTCCCCGTGGCGAACAGCGCTGCTTGGACGGCCTTGGCAAACCGGAGCCTCCTCCACGACTCCTGCGTGGCGTCATGGGGCTCGCTGTTCCGGCCGCTTGCACCACGGCGGCTGCGGGGCCAGGCCACAGATTGATGTTCCACGGCCTGCGGCCGTTGACCGCGTCCTTCCCCGGGCCGCGCAAAAAACAAAAAAAAATGCCGTGGCGGCGCAAACCGTGGCGACAGGTGCGTCCCACCCGTGGCGTCAGGCACGAGTGCGACGCGCCCGCTGCAACGGTCAACAGCCGCGTCGTCCTACGGATAAAAAAAGCAAAGAGTCACAGCAGTGGCGGAGGGCGGGGGCGGGAGGGGAGAATTGCATGATAAGAAACTGGGGGAGCAGCATGGAGACGACGCTGCAGGAGGAGAAGGAGGAGGAGGATCGGTAACGATAGTGAGCCCTAGGTTTACCAGCGATGCTGAATTTCGACATAGGGACGGCATGAATATACACTTTCGGAGCTCCGCGAAGATTTCTTGGATCTGCGCTGGACCCCCAGGCGGCGCCTCTGGCGCCGCCGCTGGCGCGCTCCGCGCACCTGGGGGGGTGGGCAGCGCCGCCGAACCAAGTCATCAGCGGGGAGCTCCGAATTATGGTTGTGCCGTTTTTGAATAACTAAACAAGGACCCCTAACCCTTTGGGAGGGGACCTAAGTTAGGAGGGCCAAAAACATTAGGGATACGGGCTCAGTTCTGCAGGTGTATCGAACCAAACCGTCCAGATTGCTTATAACCCTAATGCAAAGACGGGGACCTCAGTGAGGCCACGTCTTCATCGTGCTACTAGGGCTAAGGGTTCTTTTGCTCTCGATGAGTCCTCTGTCCCTCTGGCACAGTCTCCCTCCCGTCCCAAGCCTCGCCATCACACAGGGCTCGATCCGAGCAGTGCTCTCCGTTTTCGCTTTGCTTCCGCTTCCTCTCGTTCTGCCCCCGCCCCGCCTCTGCTGCGAAACGAACTCACGAGGAGAACGGCCTACGAGGTCGTCGGAACACCGGCCCGGTCGAGCCCTGCCACCACTAGGGAGCACACAAAGGACGTACGCGCCCAGCTATGTACATGAACACGGCCCCTTGACCCGCGAGACCTGCCGCGCGATACGAACCTTCGCGCAGTGCGAACTCTCGAAACCAGCGTGGATTCATGTACATGTACGTCCTTCTTTCGCTCCTGAACCACGAGCCCGTGCCGTGTGCCCTCCGGACGGCCCCCCCCCCGCCGCGCAACGACGAGGGGCCCCCGGGCCTGCCCTGCAGCACGACGGGGGCCCCGTGCGGAGAGGGGGGGGCCGCCCTCCGTCCGTGCAGCAGTGGCACGGCTCGAAGTAGTAGTCTCGAGCCCGGGCGTTCGTGAGTTCGTTTCGCAGCAGAGGCGGGACGGGGGCAGAACGAGAGGAAACGGAAGCAAAGCGAAAACGGAAAGCACTGCTCAGATCGAGCCCTGTGTGATGGCGAGGCTTGGGACGGGAGGGAGACTGTGCCAGAGGGACAGAGGACTCATTGAGAGCAAAAGAACCCTTAGCCAGCGCCCCGCCGTGAGGAGGAGCCTCCCTCCGCCCTCCGTCCGTGCAGCAGCGGCGCGGCTCGAAGTAGCAGTCTCGAGCCAGCGCCCCGCCGTGAGGAGGAGCCTCCCTCCGCCCTCCGTCCGTGCCGCAGTGGCACGGCTCGAAGTAGCAGTCTCGAGCCAGCGCCCCGCCGCGAGGAGGAACCTCCCCCCGCCCGTGCAGAGCTTCCACACGGGCTTGCACTTCCGCCGGAGGGTCGCGGGCGAAGTCCGAGCTTGGGGAGGAGGCGTCCTCCGTGCTTGAGGCGGCTGGGAGCTTGTCAGACGAGCGTGCGTGGCGCACAGAACGAACCCCACGTTCTGCAAACACACGGCCTTCCATCCTTGAAGCTGCCGGGCGCTTTTACTTTAGAGGGACGCTCTCGGAGCTGAGGCGAAAACCACAGTTTGAAAGCCAACCGCCATCCATCCTTGTAGCTGTTGGAGCAGCCAAGCTTCAGGGTGAGAAGTGGTGAGGAAGTCTACCCGCACGGCCCGCCCTGACGATAAGTCTCGTGCTGCGACGAAAAAGGATCTATCCAGAAGGAACAGGGATTGAAGAACAGGACGAGAGAAGGATGACGAGCGATGAGGAAGGAGTCGGGATGAGGAGAAGGACGATCGGGGGAATGCGGAAATATGCGGATGACGAGGAAGCGGCATCAATGGAAAATCCAACCTCGCCGAATGGCGGATCGGCCCAACAACGAGAGACGCCCCGCTGCAGACCTCACGCACATCATTCGAGCTGGCGCTCCGTGCTGGCGCCCCGCTTTTGCATCAGTTCGAGCTTCGACCAAACCTTCGCTGCAATCGTCGAACGCACGGTACACTTGACCGCGCAAGGGACAACCATCACAACATTGCCGAATGCAGAATCCTGGCAGGCAGCTGAAATATGGAACAAGGACCAACGTGGGCCAGAGAAGGCATGATCACCGCTTCACTCCTCCTCCTCCTCCTCCTCCTCCTCCACCTCCTCCTCTTCCTCCTCAGCCTCTTTCGAGGGCGTTCGCGAGGGGGGCGTCCAAGAGAGGGGTCGCTAAATCATGTCCCGAGGCATGTGCGCGGACGAGGAGGGGGACCTGGGGACGTATTGCAAGAAAGGGAGCGGGTCGTGAAAGCCAGGGGGATTCATGGCCCGCGGTACCCCCTTTCTTGAAAAACCTGCCCGTGTCGGTACTCTCTGGACCTCGCCCAGGGGTTGTTCTGACCAGAAGTTTGGGGAAAATCCAGCGGTGGCAGTGAGGGCCCTCCAGAAGGAGCAGCGGCATCGGTATCTCTCCCTTCTCTGTTCCCCAGGTGGTATGTAGCCTCGCCTACACGCAAGAGCGGCCCTGGGCAAGAGTGACCTTTGGGCCAAAGGTCACTCTTGCCCAGGGTCGCAGCTTCAGGGGGACCAAATGTCACTCTTGCCCCGGGCAAAGGCTTTGGTGCGCAGCTTTAGGGGGCCGCGGGGGGAGCAGGTCAGCTTCAAGCAGGCCAGCCAGCGCGGGGAGGACCACTGTGGTCCCGCACCATGAGTCACTCAGGCGAAAGGTCACTCTTGCGAGGCCTCGTGCCACGGCCTCGCTCACTCCGCGCCCACGACACACCGGAGGCGCCGAGCTGGCCGCATAAAATGAAACCCAAGCGGCGAAACCCTACCGCACGTGCTCAAGGAGACCCAGAGACCGAGCCCAATCTGCCGGCGAATCTCGAGCGCCCGCGAGGCCTCGTGCCACGGCCTCGCTCACTCCGCGCCCATGACAAACAAAAGTCCCTGAGCTGGCTGCACGGAGTGAGACCTAACCAGCTGAACCCTGCTGCCGCACGCGCTCAATTAGACCGCGCTCACTCCCGCGCCAGGCCGATGGCACTCCCGCCACTCTTGCCAGCCGCCTCCCTCAGCTCGCGCAGCGCGTCGCGGAGGCGCGCCTCGGGAATCCTCTTGAGCTGCAGGGCGGCGACGAAGTCGTCCTCGAACCTCAGGACGTCGGAGGCCCGCGTCACCTCCTCCTCTCGGGTCGCGCGAGAACCTAAACCCTCCAACGCATTGGAACACTTAGTGTGCTTCAATCGATCTTTACCCGCGAATGTGAGGCGGAATCCCCATGGAACACCAACACATGTGGGGCCCGGCGGCCGCTGTATGCAGCCGTCAACTCGTCGAAGGCACGAGACAGAAGACCCAAAGAGCACCAACACACTTTGCGCCTGGGCCGCGGTGTGCGAGGCGGGTCGGTAGCTCTATTCTTTATGCAGTAGAGGCCCGACCACAAGTAACCTTCCACAAGAAACCCAACCCTGAGACCCCAGGGCGTCCAGTGATTCCCAACCATCCTGTGGTGTTGGGTCCTCGTTTTGAAGAAACGTCCCCGCGTCTCCTCCTCCTCCTCCTCCTCCTCCCGTGCCCCCCCAATGGGGGAACCACATGCGTCCGCCACACCCAATACATCGTTTCGTGGCCCCATAAAAAGGGCTCCACGTAAGGCCCCAGTATGGGTACCACATGCGTCCGCCACACCCAGTACAACGTGTCGTGGCCCCATAGGGAGCTCCACCGAAGGCCCCAGTGGGGGCGGCCATATGCGTCCGCCACACCCAGTACAACGTGTCGTGGCCCCATAGGGAGCTCCACCGAAGGCCCCAATGGGGGTGCCCGCATGCGTCCGCTACACCCAGTACAGCGTTTCGTGGCCCCACAGGGAGCTCTACATAAAGCCCCAGTGGGGGTGGTCACTTGCGCCCGCCACACCCAGTACAGCGTTTCGTGGCCCCATAGGGAGCTCCACCGAAGGCCCCAGTGGGGGCGGCCACATGCGTCCGCCACACCCAGTACACCGTTTCGTGGCCCCGTAGGGAGCTTCATCAAAGGCCCCAGCCCCAGTGGGACCGCCCACATGCGTCCCACACACCCAAGTTGGCAGTTTCACCGACCCAGTACAGCGCTTCGTGGCCCCATAGGAAGCTCCACCAAAGCCCCCAGTGGGATCGTCCGCGTGCGTCCCGCACGCCCAATTTGGCATTTTCGCCCGCCCAGTATAGCGCTTCGTGGCCAGGGGCTCCACCGAAGCCCCCAGTGGGACTGTCCGCATGCGTCCCGGAAGCCCAATTTGGCATTTGCACCTTCCCAGTACAGCGCTTCGTGGCTCCATAGCTCCACCTAAGCCTCCAGAGGGAACGTCCGCATGCGTCCCGCACACCTCATTTGGCATTTTCGCCGACTCAGTACGGCGCTTCGTGGCCCCATAGGGAACTCCACCGACGGCCCCAGTGCTACCGCCCGCATGCGTTCCCCCCACCCAATGCAGCGCTTCGTGGCCCCATAGGGAGCTTCACCGAAGAACATATTCACAATTGCGGTACTCACAACTGCATATGGTTGGGCCCTTCGCCAGGATAAATGTTGGTGTGGGAACGTCACGCTTCCCATCGCACAACCATCGAACCCCAAGAAATCCAGGGCCCCCGGGAGGCAAGCAGGGTGTTTCTTGGCATGGGCCCCCGCTGTATCTAACAGCTCCAGTATTGTCTCAATGCATTGCTTGTTTGTTCCCAGCCATCCTGTGGTGTTGGGCACTCGTTTTGAAAATACAGCGCCCCGTGTCGACCTCCCTTCTCCTACCTCCTCTCTCCTGCCATCATCACCCCTCTGACCTCTGCACGTCAATATCGGAGAGAGCGTGATCCACCGCCGCTTTACTGTGGAAAATTGCCAACCTTTTCCTCCGGAACCCGGGGGTCTCCCCCCCCCCCCTCCGAAAATCCCCCCCCCCCTGCCGGAACCCCTCCCCCCCCCCCCTCTCCCCCCCGGCAAAACCCCCCCCCTCCCCTAACCCCCCCCCCCCCCCCCTCCCGCTCGAAAACCGGGGGGGGGTCACTACCGGTTCGAACCCCCCCCCCCCCCCCCCTCCGGATCCGGAAAACCGGGGGGGTCACTACCGGTTCGAACCCCCCCCCCCCCCCCCCCCCCACCCCACTACTCACCGCCAGCAAACGACTCCCGGTCCCCACCACCGTCCGCATCACATCCCCCACTGGTGTTCCCAGCACCACTGTCCTCACCACCGCTGTCCCCACTGGTTCCACCACCGCCCCTACTGTCCCCACCAGTGGCCCCACCACTGTCGCACTGTCCCCGCTGTCCCCAGAACTGTTCCCACCACGGTTCCACTCTCCCCACTGTCTCCACGGCCCCAACCACTGCCCGACTATCCCCACTGTCCCCACTGTCCCACTGACTCCTCCGCTGTCCCACTGAGCTGTCCCACTGTTCCCACCACTGTCCCCACTGTCCCCACCACTGTCCCCACTGTACCTCTGTCCCATTGTCCCACCGCCGTCCTCGCCACCGCCTTCACCACTGTCCCCACCACCATTGTACCCTCCACTGTCCCACTGTTTCCACCTCATTCCCATTGTCCCCACACCACTGTCCCCACCACCACCGTCACCACCACTGTCCACTGTCCCCCCCTGTTCCCACCATTGTCCCCACCACTGTCCCCACCACTACCGTCCCCACCGCTGTCCCACTGTCCCACTGTCCCCACCACTGTCCCGCTATCCCCTCACCACTGTCCCCACCACTACCGTCCCCACCACTGTCCCACTGTCCCCCCACTGTCCCCACCACTGTCCCGCTGTCCCCTCACCACTGTCCCCACCAACACCGTCCCCACCACTGTCCGCACCCCCACTCGGTTTTCGAGGGGGGGGGGGGTTCGAACCGGTAGTGACCCCCCCCCCCTTTTCATGATGGGGGGGGGGGGGGGGGGAGGGGTTCGAACCGGTAGTGACCCCCCCCGGTTTTCCGGGGGGGGGGGGGGGGGGAGGGGTTCGAACCGGTAGTGACCCCCCCCGGTTTTCCGCCAGCAGCGGTAGAACACGCTCTTTCCAATATCGGCACGCCCCTCACACGTTTCGTGGCCCCACAGGGGGCTCCACCGAAGACCGAAGTGGCGCGGTTCGCATGCGTCCCCGCCACCGATTTCGATACACCCTCACACGTCTCGTGGCCCTATAAAGAGCCCCGCCGAAGTTCCCACTGTGGCGGCCCACCCCTCGCACGCTTCGTGGCCGCATAGGGAGCTCCACCGAAGGCCCCAGTGGCAGGGATCGCATGGCACCACCGCGCCCATGTTGGCACATTTCTCACAAGCTCCGTGGAGCCCCGGCCACGAACAAATCCCCCGGTCTACATGTGAGGAGCGACCCGGAAACCAGAGCCCATCGCGCACCCAGTGGTCCTTATTTCAGCGTCTTGACTGTATGCTGGATCTTTTTCCCCACCCAACAAGCATAGGCTGTTAGATCGACAAGAACGGCTCCCCACCCGTCTCTCGTGTCCCGCCTCGTGCTCTCGACGATTGACGACTGCATGCCGCGGCCGCCAAGCCCGAAGCTTGCTGATGCTCCCTGGGTGTCCCGCCGCGCGTGGTTGGGTGGGGATCGCTCCAACCAAAATGAAGCCAGCATCTTGACTGCGTGCGGCGTTTTCTTATTGTAATTTCCCTGCGTGCCAGTGCTCCCTGGGTGTCGCCTCTCGTTCTTGGGTGGGAATCGCTCGAGACAACGCACTTTCAGCATCTGGACTGTCTTTGGGGAAAGAGATAACCCGGCGAAAGACACGCAGGGTAATGATGAGCACCTCCTCGTAGGTAGCGAGCCGCGGGAAACATGGGGCACAGGACATGCGGATGAGTGCCGCGAGAAATTGAGGGGTGTGCCGACATGGGCTGGGGGGCGCATGTACGTGCTGCCACGGGAGCCTTCGGTGGTGCTCCCTGTGGGGCCACGACACTTCTGATGGGTGTGCCGAAATAGCCTGGGGGGGCCTTCGGCCAAAAGAGCCCTCGGCTTAGCTCCCTATGAGGCCACGAAGCGTGTGAGGGGTGTGTTGACATGGGCTGGACGCGTGCGAGCGCTTCCACAGGAGCCTTCGGTTGAGCTCCTTGTGGGGCAACGAAAGGTGTGAGGGTGTGCCGAAATTGGCGGGGGGTGGCGCGTGCGAGCGCTGCCACTGGGGCCTTCGGCGGATCTCCACCTGTGGCCACGGAACGTATAATTGGTGTGCCGATACGGTCGGAGGGACGCACGAGAGCGAATACACTGGGGCCGTCGGTGGCCTGGGGCCACGAAGCGTGTGAGGGGTGCGCCGAAATCGACAGGGAGACGCATGCGAGCGCTGCCACGGGAGCCGTGGGTGGAGCTCCTTGTGGGACCGCGAAACGTGTGAGTGTTGTGCCGAAATGGGCCTGGGGGCGCATGCGATCGCTGACACAAGAGCCTTCGGCGGAGCTCCCTTTGGGGCCACGACACGTGTGAGGGGTGTACCAAACAGAGCTGGGGGACGCATGCGAGCGGAGCCACTGGGGCCCTTCGGGGGAGCTCCCTTTGGGGCAACGACACGTGTGAGGGGTGTGCCGAAATATGCTTGGGGGACGCATGCCAGCGCTGCCTCAAGAACCTTCGGCGGAGCTCTCTTTGGGGCCACGGCACGTGTGAGGGGTGTGCCTCAGTTGGCTGGGGGACGCACGCGAGCGCAGCTACTGGGGCCCTTCGGTGGAGCTCCCTGTGGGGCCACGAAGCGTATGAGTGGTGTGCCGATATAAGCGGGGGAGGCGCCTGCGACCGCAGCCACTGGGGCCTTCGGTGGAGTTCCCTGCGGGGCCACGGAGCGTGTGAGAGGTGTACCGAAGTAAGAAAGGGGAAGCGTGCGAGCGCAACCATTGGGGCCTTCGGCGGAGCCCCCTGTAGTGCCGCGAAATGTGTGAGTGGTGTGCGGGAATGGGCTGGGGGACGCATGCAAGCGCAGTCATTGCGGCCTTCGGTGGGGCTCCATCTGGGGCCACGAAGCGTGTGACGGGTGTGTCGACATGGGCCAGGGGGATGTTTGCGAGCGCAGCCACTGGGGCCTTCGGTGGAGCTCCCTGTGGGACCACGGAAGGTGTGAGGGAAGCGGGAACGAGCATGTGGAGAGCAGAGGCACGATACTGATGATGACGATGGCGATGACGAGGATGCTGATGATGCTGCTGATGATGATGATGATGATGATGATGATGGTGACGATGATGCTGATGCTGATGCTGCTGCTGCTGCTGATGATGATGATGATGCTGATGCTGATGTTGAGGCTGATGATGCCGGAGATGTTGATGATGATGGTGATGGTGATGCGGATGATGATGCCGATGGTGCTGATTATGATGCTGGTGATGCTGGTGCTGGTGCTGCTGCTGCTGCTGCTGATGATGATGATGATGATGATGATGCTGATGCTGATGCTGAAGCTGCTGCTGCTGATGATGATATTGGTGTTGGTGATGGTGGTGGTGGTGGTGGTGAGGGGGAGGGGTGGGAGGAGGAGAACAAGGAGGAGGAGGAAGAAGAGGAGGATGAGCACAATGATGAGGAGGCGGAGGAGAAGGAGGACGGAGGAGGGAGGAGGGAGAAGGGAGGAGGGAGAAGGAGGAGGGAGGGGGAGGAGGGAGGAGGGAGGAGGGAGGAGGAGGAGGGAGGAGGGAGGAGGGAGGAGGGAGGAGGAGGAGAGGAGGAGGAGGAGGAGGAGGAGGAGGAGGAGGAGGAGGAGGGAGGAGGAGGAGGAGGAGGAGGAGGAGGAGGAGGAGGGAGGAGGAGGAACTTCGTCGTCGACTCTTCCCGTCCACCCCTTTCGTCCGACCCGCCGATCCTCCCTGCACCATTCCCACGCCCGCCGCGCCGCCGCGTCCGACAAGTCCGCCGCGTCCAGGAGTTCTGCGAGGCCCTCCACCTGCCGGCGGCGCGAGGAGTCAGCATTATAGTGTTGTTCTCTTGCTCTGCTCTCTCTCTCTCTCTCCCTCTTTCTTTTGTTCTCTCTCTCTCTCTGTCTCACTCCCTCCCTCCTTGTCTCTCTCTCTCTCTCTCTCGATGTTTTTTTTTTTTTTCTCTCTCTCTCTCTCTCTGTCTCTCTGTCTCACGCCCTCCCTCCTTTTCTCTCTGATTGATGATACTGAGAAATATGTCTCCCCTCTCTCTCTAGCTGTTTGATTGCTCTCCCTCTCTCTCTCTCTTTAACTCTGTCTCTCTCATCCTATGTATCTGTAATAAACAGATTGCTGCCGACGTAGATGTACCCCTCTCCCCCCTCTCTCTCGCTCCTTCATTGTTTGTTTCTCTCTCTCTCTCTCTCTTTCTCTCTCTCTCTCTCTTGGAGGGAGAGACACCAGTCTCAACGTGAAAACCGAGTCCCTCCACAGCCACGCGCAAATCTCCCACGGGGGGGACCAGTCGGTAGAGTTTGGCAAACCATAGCCCAATTCGAATGGGCCCGAATGGACATGGCCCGAATTCGCCACCATGCACGACGACTGGGGCACCCGCCTCTCCTGGCTCCAGCTGCCAGCTGGTCCCTTCGCGCGCGTGCTCTGGGCCGCGCAGCGGAGACTCTTCACCCGGCGCATCCCAACCACCAGGCACGATCCTGGAACCGTGGCCGCCGTCAAACAAGGCCTCGAACATTCTGCCAACATCTGGCCCCTTGGGACCGAAAGCGAAGCCAACTGTACCGCTTGGCACCTCAACCCGCTTTGCAACTGCCTCTGTGGAGGCGGCCACGCCCGGCGGAGGAAAGTCGAGGCCGGCATTGCGGCAGACCCCTCCCTCCTGTGCAGATAGTCGATAGTGTGACCAAGACGATGACACCCAGGAGCACACTGTCTGGAGATGCCCTTGGTGGGTAAGCCAGAGGACTCCCCTCAACACCGTGATCACCGATCAACAATGGCAGGACCTCCCACCGCACACCAGGCACTGCGGCCTCCTCGAGGAACGCTCCACCTTGCTCGACCTCCGGGCAGCTCTGGCGAAGGACGAACTCCCTCAGTCCATCCCGAAACGGCCACGGGGCGACGAGGATGAGGATGCCTCAAGATTGCGTCGACAGCCATGGTGCTCGACGGGCCTACGCCGCGACCGACGGGGCCTGTTCCAAGCAAGCCCGCCCTCCCCCGGCCAGGGCGTGCACTGCGGCCCCCAACGCCCGCTCAACCACTCGGTCCGCCCACGCGGCCTGGCACAGTCCGCGCAACGGCTGAAACCCTCGCCATGCTGCGCCTCGTCGCCACGGCCGAACGACCGGACCGCGCATTTGTTGTCAATGAAGCGGTCGCGGACGGGTCCGAAAACCTCAAGGGCAAACCACCGCAGCGCGTGGAGCCGCAATCGGACTTTCTTGGGCACAACATCTGTCGGGGGCTTCTGGCGAAACCTGACTTTTTCAAAATTCGGAGGGGTCGACAGTCACCTCGGGGAGCAAGGCGCCAACGAAGGCCGCATCACGCCTATCGCATGACTTTTCAACTGCCACGCCGATGCACTCGCTAATTACCGCGGGGGCGAGGCGCCACGACATCCCACAAAGTGTAATTCGTCGACGCTGCTGGATGGCGCCACAAGCTCGCCGCTGTACTGCACAGCGTGGCCGTCGCCGTACTTGATCAGCGACGCCGCGCGCTTCCTCTGCCCCACAGGAAAGTGGGGTACTCCAAATCTGAGCAATCCAATATGGAACCCAATTCGCTCACAACCAGTCGGGGAGGACCGCCACCCACGTCCAGACCACCAAATCCCAACCATTTCGACGAACTCGATGGTCCCCGGACCCCAACCAAGGACGAAGTCGAAGCTGATGGCCTCGACCTGCGAGGGCTAGAAGCCTTCCTCAACGCTGACGACGACCGCGACTTCCTGTCACTGAGCCACCCCCACGGCAATAGCCAAAGTGCCGAGGATCACCTGAACGTGACGACAGACGCGCAGCCGCTCAACGCTCGGGAGCGGCAAGGCACGCTGGCCACTCATCACTCTTATCAAACTCGCCACCCCATTCGGCCCACCAGGGATCCGACGGGGACGGCCGCGAGACTGGGGGTGACGGCCACCACGCCCGGGGTCACCGACGCACTCCCGGCGCTGACGGCCACACCCCGGGGCACAACTCCGCCAGTAGCGCCACCCGCCTGGGAAAGGACCTGCGCATGTCAGGCGAGGGGTCGCGGACTGCGCCCCCCATGGGCCAGCTCCGCCGCCCCAGCCCGCCGGGCTGGCCGGTGCTGTTGCACACCCAGCGGCCCCCCAGCGCAGTGCTTCCGACCACCAGGCAAAGCCCCGGGCTCACCAGGGAGCGGGGGTCACGGGTCCTTGTGCCACCCGCTAGGGTGTAGGCGACCGCACGACCTCAGAGCATCGTACCGATCGGAGGGATGCCCTCACGCAGCACCTCACTGAGGCCAGCGGCCAGCAACGAGGGGGCCGCTGAACAACTCTCACTGCCAGCATTCTAGCGCCCCATCAGCGAGCCAACCGGCTGGTGATCTCCGGCCACCAGATCCAAGAACAATCGGCTCCGCCGATCGACAAGTGCCACCGTGCGCCAGAAATTTGGAGCGGCCTGCAGTGGACCTTCTGGCCTGCTGCGGCCATGGGGGCCACCCTACACGGCAAACCCCGAACCTCTTCCTTGACGCTCAAAGGGCGAGACACCAGTGCTAGCCTCTTCCTTTCTCGTCGGGCCTCCTGAACTGCCCCTGTTCTGTCGTCTGCTTCTCCTGGGCCGCTGTGGGGGATGCCCCGAGGCGGCGCCCGTCCCTGGGCGCCGAGGTGCGCCTGCCAAAGCGTGCTCAAAACCGTTTTTTTGTTGTTGTTTCTCTCTCTCTCTCTCTCTCTCAGCACGGTGGCGCCGACGGGCCTTCGAGAGGTCTGATCACCGCTGCCCGCCCGTTTCTTCCACACGGGGGCCCCGCAGCCCGCGCCTGGGGGAAGGCTCTGCCACCAACCCTGTTGCCTGTGCGGCGCCCCCCGTTCCGCGAGGAAGGCCCGCCGGGCACGCGCGGCCCGGGGGCCTGCACGACCTGTCGTCCTTCTTGTAGGGGCCCAGGGGCACACGAAATGGACACAAATCCTAGGACCCCCGAACGTTTCCCATATCTTGCTGGAGTTTCGTCTCCCCCCCCGCTTCCCACAGTTTCTAACATCCTTGCCTGGAAACCGGCGATTCTTTATGTCTCTGTGTGTGTGTGCGTGTTTTCCCTCCTGACTTGTATCTGATTGCCGGAACTCTGGCCCCTCCCTCTTCGGGGGCGGCCAAGAGGAGGGAGTCCAAGAGGGGAGGGGGGGGGCACAACTCATGGCCTGCGGCACGTGCGCGGCCCAAGGGGGGGCCAGGGACGTAATGTGAAGTAAGAAGAGGCGCCATGACATCTAAGGAAATATCATGGCCCGCGCCATGATATCCCCCCCCCAGTCACCACCCCCCTCTTGGCCGCCCCCGACCCCTCGCCCCGCGCCCGGCCGAGATGCGCTCTCCTCCGGCCCCCGGTCCCCCCGCACGGCCTTCCTACCCCGGCCAGGTCTCCCGAGGCCGTGCCCGGCCGCGGCGACGACGAGCACCGCCAGAGCTGCCCCCCCCCCCCCCTATCAGGACCCTGCCAAGAACAGCGACGTCGGCGATGGCGACGTCGCCTTTGACGCCTCCCTTTCTTCACGCGCCGCCGACGCGGGACTCCTTGGGCGCGAATTGACTGGGGGGGCGATGAATGGAACGGGGGGGGCGGGGGGGAGGAAGGTCCGCGCGCCGCCGACACGGGACTCTGTCGGGCATCTAATGACCCGGGTCGATTCAAACCTGGGTCAGTCATGCCTTCTTGCAGGATCCTGCAAGACCCTGCAGGGTCATGCAGGACCCTGCGCCCAAGCCCAGATCAGGGTCCTGCAAGACCTGGCGCTCTGACTGACCGCTGTTTGCATGGACCCCCGTCTCTTAGCCCCGACTGCGAACCTTGAGGCTTCCTCCGAGAGGCTCGCGCATTCTGACGACACCGCGCCCCCGGGAGGGGCCCTGGGAACTTCAACGTGACGGGGAACCTTTCCAGGGCGGACCCCCTTCCCGCAGAACCTCCCCTCTGCATGGCGATCCTCCAGGATCCGCTCAAAATTGAGCCTTCTGGCTCTCTCGGGGTCCATGCTGGCCCAGCACTGACCACGAGAACCTCCATAGACTCTCAAGGCCTCCAAAACAACGTCGTCGTCGTCGTCGCAGCCGTCGCAGCCGTCGTCGTCGTCGTCGTCGTCGTCGTCGTCGTCGTCGTCGACCGCCCTCCCATCTTTGTGCCGTCGACACCTGCGACGGCAAACATACGCTGGCCAACGTTTCGTCCTGGGTCGATCCTTACGCCCCAGGGGCCCGAAACATACCTCCGGAGGCAGACAACTCATGAACAGCCTGTTTCGAATTTCCACCTCGATCGCCATCGCTCGGACGTCCATTCGTGTATTTTTCGGTCTGCTGTACTTTTCCCAGACATCCTGTGGTGTTGGGTCCTCGTTTTGAGGAGACGGTCCCCGCGTTTATTTCTCCTCCTCCTCCTCCCGCTGCCACCTCCTCCCCTCCCTCCGCCCTTGTCCCGTCACCCCCCTCACTTTGGCACACCCCTCACACGCTTCGTGGCCTCATAGGGAGCTCCACCGAAGGCCCCAATGGGGGTGTCCGCATGCGTTCGTCACACCCAGTGCAGCGTTTCGTGGCCCCATAGCGAGCTCCACCGAAGGCCCCAGTGGGGGTGCCCGCATGCGTCCGCCACACCCAATGCAGCGTTTCGTGGCCCCATAGGGAGCTCCACCGAAGGCCCCAGTGAGGGTGCCCGTATGCGTCCGCCACATCCAGTACAGCGTTTCGTGGCCCCAAGGGGGAGCTTCACCGCCACACCCGGTACAGCGTTTCGTGGCCCCACAGGGAGCTCCACCGAAAAATCGCATACGTCCCGACCATTTGTCTCCCCTGCTCGCACTGCCCCGCGCCTCGTTCTTCCTACGGCGCGTTGCCTATGATAGCAGAAGGTATACCGCATGCGCTATTCGGGGTTTGCGTGTCCTCCTCCTTCGTCCCATCCCCATCGCGGTTATCGCCGCTGCATATGGTTGGGTCTTTCGTCAGGCTATTTTGTCCCAAACATCCTGTTGTGGTGTTGGGTCCTCGTTTCGAAGAGACAGCGTCGCGCGTCCCTCTCTCCTCCTCCTCCCCCTCCTCCCTCCCTCCTCCCGTCATCATCATCCTCATTCTTCGTCACGCCCCTTACACGCTTCGTGGCCCCATAGGGAGCTCCACCTCAGGTCCCAGTAGCGCAGTCCGCATGGCGGCGCCGCCCTATGTTGGCACACCCCTCACACGTTTCGGTGCTGCATACGGAGCTCCACATCAGGTCCCGGCGGCGCAGTCCGCATGGCGGCGCCGCCCTATTTCGTCACACTCCTCACACGTTTCGTGGCCGCATAGGGAGCCCCACCTAAGGTCCCAACGACGCATGCGCCGCCCCAATTTGGCACACCCCTCACACGTTTCGTGGCCCCATTGGGAGCTCCACCTCAGGTCACAGTGGCGCAGTCCGAATGGCGGCGCCGCCCCGTTTTGGCAAACCCCTCACACGTTTCGTGGCCCATAGGGCGCTCCACCTCAGGTCCCAGTGGCGCAGTCCGCATGGCCGCGCCGCCCCATTTTGGCACACCCGTCACACGTTTTGTGGCCCCATAGGGAGCTCCACCTAATGTCTCAGTGGCGCAGTCCGCATAGCTGCGCCGCCCCATTTTGGCACACCCCTCACACGTTTCGTGGCCCCACAGGGAGCTCCACCTGAGGTCCCAGCGGCGCAGTCCGCATGGCTGCGCCGCCCCATTTTGGCACACCGTTCACACGTTTCGTGGCCCCATAAGGAGCTCCGCCCTGCCCTATTTCGGCACACTCTTCACTCGCTTCGTGGCCCCGTAAAGAAGATCCACCGAAAGTGATACTCACAACGACGGTATTCACAACTGCATATTGTTGGGTCCTTCGCAAGGTCATATATAAAATGCACACGTCCGAGCGATGCCTGACCTCCGACCTGCGGGGACGCCTGCGACTCATCGGCGTCCTGCGCCAACTGCTCCTTCGGCGGCGCCCTGCGCCTCTCGCGCGCTCGGCCACGGACACCCTCTGTCGGGGGGGAAGTGAGAAGGGGCGGGCCTTCTCAGAAGACTCGGAGGGCCTCGGGCCTTCTGAGACATCTTCTAAACCTCCCCCCCCTGAAGGCACAACAAGCTTATCAGAAGGCCAGGGGGGCTTTCGAGGAACACCACCACCTTCTGAGAAGGCCTTCTCCCTCTCACTTCCCCCCTGGGCGCGCCACGAAACCGAAACCGACCGAAATCGACGGGCCGGAAGCAGCCCGGAAGGGCGCAGCGACGCGGAACGACACGATAACCGCACGAACCGAACCGACCGAACGCAACCGACTTCGGCGCAACCGAACCGACCGAACGGTGAACCCATGCATGGCTTAGCGAGGGGGAGACGGGTCCTGAATCCTGAGGGAAATGAGTCCTGGACGCGGTGGCTTTCCCACCAAAACGAGTTCTTCATCCCAGGTCGTCTTCTGACAGTCCCAAGGCCTGAGTCCTGAAGGAAACGAGACCTGGACGCGCTGGCTTTCCCCCAAAACGAGTTCTTCATCCCGGGTCGTCTTCTGACAGTCCTAGGGCCCGAGGATGGCCTCCACGGCTTCCCTCGGGACCCGCTTCCCCATGGCGAGAACCCCTGTGTAGCCAAGGGGTCCATGTTTGAACGCCGGACGCCTGACCCTCCTCGTCGCCCGAGACGGCCTCGCGGCGCTCGCTGCCGCGGGCGGCTCCGGCGCCGCGCCCCTGAGCTCCTCCGCCGCGCTGGCCGCTGAGCTCCTGCCCGCGCCGAGCGCGTGCCGGCGGGCCATGACGTCCTCTAGCGTGTTCTTTGCTACCATGTATACATACATATAACTATATGTATGCACATATATATATATATACATATAGAGAGATATGCACGGATGTATGTATGTATAATTGTCTGCTTGTTTGTACCTCTACCTGAATCGATGTCTACATGTATGCATGAATGCATGTCTGTACGTATGCCTGCATGTATGCATGCATGCTTGTATGCATGTATGTAGGTATGTATAGATGTATGGTTGTATGTACAGCCTCGGAGCCAGGGCCTGAGTTGTCTTAGCATATTCACGAATATCTGGAACCCAGGGAAGACTAAACATATCGTCTGAAATCTAGAAACTAAAGGTTTATGACGCAGAAAACAATGTAGAGAAGAGAAAAAGAAAACGAATGAGGGGAATTAACAGAAAACTTATACCGAAACCCGTTATATGAAACCCGGCCGGCTTGACCCGTACTTCACGTGCATCCTATTATGTCTCTCATTCGCTTTCTTTAGGTGCTCGTGAGATTACGTTCACAATCTGTCATGTGGAGAATTTCTTCTGGAAAATATTGGACGGACGGATGGACGGAGTTTGGCACTGGACCCAGCCATCACTACATACAATACATCGAAGTTCCGGAGGTCGCAGCATGGTAGGGCATCATGTTACCTTGGAACACCTTGAGCCATCTTGAACCATATTCAACTTACATGTTTAATTATTGACTTTTCTCTGGGGTACTAAGGTACAACACAGAGTGAGCACAAACCGAGAACATTACAAACATTTCGCGTTTCTGGACAGCACAGCCTGAACAACTAATTACAAACAGGTCGCACTTCTGGACAGCACACCAAACGCATCAAACTTTCAAAAACAATCAAGCACATGAAATTTTCAAAATCCGAAAACATCAAGAAACATAAGAGTTCGACAAACCGCAAAATCCTCAACACCAAAACATTGCAAATCTTCAGAAAATCTGGTAGACATTCAAACATTCTCAACAGCCCGAGTGAATTCATTCACTTTGTTAGTCAATTGCTTAACTACGAATGAACTAATCAATTCGTAATTAATTCGACATCAATCGATTACTGACGAATTACTGAACTACCTGATGTATTATTACTTGAATGATTAATTCATTAATTATTTTGTAGGTATTTATGTAAAAAACAAAAAATGACACACTAATTATTAATTAACGAATCAATGAGCAACGGGAAAACTACGAAGCAAGAGCCGATTGATCTGAACAGCTCGGGCTTCATTGAAGTATCGTTTGTTTGAAATGGCTTACTTGCGCCCCAAAAAAAGACATTACTACAGAACGTTTTCTTTTTAAGTTTGGGACTTCTGGTGCAACAGAAAGGAGCGCAATAATGAGCATGTCAAACATTTGAATACGACAAATGTTTTCACATGTGTAAACTAATACGTTTTCAATTTTTTTGCAGCCAATTTCGATTTTTTTGTTTGTTTTTTTTCGAAAACCATGTTGCCGAGCTCGTACGGGATGCTCGCGCTGCCGTTCTTCCCAACGGCTCAGTAGCCCATGTGCTTGAGGAAGCCGTCCATGGTCACGCCAGTGGCCGTCTCTTCGAACGCGCCAATGCCAGCGAGAGCGTTCAAGGAGTCCACCAGCCCGTCAGAGATGCCCTCGAGGAGCTTCGCCAAGGTCTCGCCGGTGTTGAAGCCGTCGCGCGCCATCTGGGGGTGCCGCTTGCCCAGGTTCTTGAGCGCCACGGAGCGCCACGCCGTGGAGAGCTTGTAGGCCTCGTTGCGCATCAGCAAGCCCTTGTACATGGCGTGGATGAAGCACATCATGGGCGCCAGCTTCTGGATCCGCTCCAAATTGGCTGTGGTCTTCTCGTTGGGGAAGTGGCTGCACCACGAGATCGGATCGGCCTGCCACTCTGCGCTGAGCGCCAGCTGCTGACGCGCCACGAGCGCCGTCATCGCGATGTACAGCCGGATGACGCCCGACAAGGCGAAGAGCCAGACCACCTTGCCGCGCGGCTTCTCGATGGCAACGGCGGACTGGCCAGAGACCAGCGTGTAGCCCTCCTCCGCGCTCGAGGCGGCAGCCTCTGCAGCCTTGCGCTTCTCGTGCGCTGCCTTGGCCTCGTTGACCTCCTTGTGGCGCTTCTCGAGCTCGGGCGACACCACCTCGCCGATGTAGAGCTGGGACAGGCAAGTCCTCATCTTGTCGGTGATGGCGGTCATAGTCAGGCCCAGCATTGCCTTGCCATTGCCAATTGCGACGCTCTCGACCTCCATGACCGAGCTCTTGGGCACGAGCATCTCGAACCGCGTGATCGACCCGTCGTCACCGGCTGACGTGATGCCCGTCGTCTGGCCCTCCGAGTCGATCGTGGCGCGCAAGCGAGCGAGTTCCTTGGCCAAGTCGTCGCAGAGCGGAATGCCTGCGTGCGCCGAGCCGCACCCTGCCGGAGCCACGGGCGTCCTTGCAGCAAGCCAACTGTGGACGTGGCGAGAGAAGAAGGTGCAGATCTCTGGCACGACCGAGGCGCGCATCAGCATGCGCATGTCGAACGGGTGCAGCACCAGCCAGTTTCGAGTTCTTTGTTTAGCAGAGGTATTGCACCATGATTGGGGGGCGTTGTGATTTAAGTCCGAGACTTCTGGCAGCAGAGAGGGTAGGAATAATCATTAGTTCAAGCAAATTACAAAGAACTAATCTTTAACTATGTGTAAGCTAATATGACTTCAAATATGTTCCTTGGAGTGTTTGAGTGATCTGTTTTAGTCGAGGCATTGAGATATGATTGTAGAGCGCTGTGGCTCAAATCCGAGTTTTCTCATGCAGCAGCAAGTTTTGAATATATATTTTCAAGCAGGCTCAGATACATGCGAAATTCTTTAGATTCGAACTATATGCTTGTTGTTTTCAGCCTTTTCTTTGAGTCAAGATATTTCGACATTATTGAAAAGCGTCTTTGTTGAAGTTCGAGGCTTCCAGAGCAGCGGCACTATACGAAGTAATAATGATTCCCAATAACCAAAAAACGAAAAAGACAGCAGCAGCGGAAAGAGCAGGAGCAGGAACAGCAGGAGCAGCAGGAGGACCAGCAGTGCACCTCAGTGCGCGCGATGCGTGCCGCTCGCCTTTTCTTTGTATCTTTCCCTGCCGTCTTTTGTCTGCTGCTGTCGTTTCTCCCTGTTCCCTCCTTCCCTTCCTCTCTCACAGTCCCTGTCTTCTGTCGTCTACTAGATTCCCCTCCTCCCTCTCCTTCACTGTCTTCATTTCTTCTCTGTTCCCTCCCTCCTTCCCTCATGAACAGACATATAGACACACACTCACACAGCACGAACACCGTCGATGAAATCGAGTTCGTATATGATGTTACTTCTTGTCTTGGAGCCCAAAGATTCTGGAGATTTCCAAACCCAGACCGCGAATTAAAAAAACGGAGCCGGAGCTTCCAGAGTCTGTTTTCTTAGGCTAAAGTTCTTTTAATTCAAATTTCCGGTGTATGTATGTCTGTATGTATGTATATCTATAGTTTTACGCGTACAGCTGCATGTCTGTATATAGGCGTGTGTTTGCGTATGGAAGAGTGTGTGTATGTATGGTTTCTAGAACGCGCGCTTCAGTTCGAATGAGGCCTCGGAGTCGAAGCCCGAATCCTACGACACCTTGGATGACGCAATTAGATTAACACCATACAGGCGCGCCCCCGTGCCAACCCACCCATGCACGCTTTGGGGGCAAACCTGGGACAAACTTGGGGGCCACGCGTTGGAACCGCGCGTGGGGGCTACAGTTGGGGGCTTCCGTTGGGAGCCGTGTGTTGGGGGGCACGCGCCGCCCCTTCCCCCCCACCCTCTGTCCGCCCGCAAGGGGTGCTTCGTCAAAGTAAGGGGGGGCGAGCCGTCCTCCACCGTCTCTGGGTGGGCGGTGGAGGTGTAACCCCGCGCTGCGGACTTCGCTGCACTTCCTGCATCTGCAGAAAGAACTGTTGTTGATCCCCCCCTCCTCCGGTGCACACTGCACCGTTCACTCAGAAGTGCCCCTCCTGGAGCTCGCACCGTGTTTTTCTACCAGGGGGAATCTCGAGCCACCGACTGTGTTCCCGGCTCCTGGTTTACAGCAAAAGCAACAACGGCCACCGTCTGATATCTGCTCACACTTTGCGGAGACATCGAGCTTTCGCGAAAAACAGCCTCGCACTTTATCCAAGAATCGCGCGCTCAGGCCCCAGACTTACTTGCAATTTACTCACGGATCGCTCTCTCGGCGCTTTGGACTCGCGCTCTCGCTCGGGATTTCCTGGTACTTTGCTCTGGAACAGCGCTCTCGCCTGGGACTTCCTTGCCATCCCCTCGTGCTGATCCCCGTTGCTTCTCCCTCTCGTCCTCCATCTTCTCCCTCCTGTTCTTTTGCCCACTTCCCTCCTCCCTCCCTTCTTCCACTCTCTTCCTCCACGCTCTTTCCTTTTTCCATGATTTTTGTTCTTCCTGTTCTACAGGCAGCGCCACTTAGCACGTGGCAGGTGAGAAAGATCTGGCCCCCAAACGGGGTACGATCAAAGACGAAATGGGCGGGTAGCAAGGGTTGTAGGGAAACACATGCTGGATGGCATGCGAGCACGAACAACTTCAAACTGATTGTTGGTGTTGTTGAGCTCCCCTTTCCGATCAATAACTATGGTTGACACCCTGGTGCGCAATTGATGACAACGCCGCGCCTCCTCGACACTCAGGAATCACGCTCGCGCTCTGGACTTCGTTACTTGGAAATCGCGCTATCGCTCAAGACTTCCTCGCGATTCGTGCAAAACTGACGCTTCAACGACCCGCCCGCTCGACCCGGCCGTCTGGGCCCGCCCGCCCGACCCGCCCGTCGGGTTTTGCCGCTTGCTTTCTGACCCCTACCACCGTGCTCAATTCTCTCTCGTGCTCAAGTCTCCCTCGTGCGCAATTCTCCCTCCCCCTGTTTCAGGGGCTGCGCCAACTACGCGTTGGAGATAAGGAAGATATGCCCCCAAGGGGGATAAGATCGAAGAAGGCGGATATCGAGGGTTTGGCCTACCCATGTTAATGGACGCGCGAGCATAACATACCGAACAGTAATACAATGATTGTGCTGTTGTTGTTGTTGAACATTATTAATTCTAAAGAATAATTATTGTTGGGACCCCTGGTGCACGGCCCCCCTGCGCCGCCTAGGCCGCAGCTACATTTTCATCATTTTCGTGAGGAAGCCTCAGGTAATTCGATGTGATCAAGATCCGGTTGTTTTGTTCCCCCCCGCTTTCCCTTGCAAAAAACACTATAAAATGACATTTCTTGTTCTAATATAATCAAATTTCAAGAATCCTTTGCAAAAAATAAGGTAAAGTGGACATTCGCGCGCGCAAGACGAAATCCTTCCAAAAGCTTAGTGTTCGGAGCGATTTTAACATAAAAACATCAAAAAACCAATGGTTTTTCAACAAAAAAATGTCAAAATCTCATCCCGCGCGCTCTTGCGGATTCGTAGGAAACCCAACACTTTTTAAACATTTCTGTCAAACGGGCTTTTGCGAGCAACTTTTTCGAACTTCTGCGACAACGGTTGCGCACCTGCCAGGGCCATCATCCCTGTCAAATAATACCATGCGGGACAGATTCGTTTTTTCTTCGCGCGCGCACGCCGAAATCTCCAAAAACCATTGGGTTCTTAAGAATTTTACCACCGCGCATCATAAAATCACACGAATCGCACCGTAGGTCCTCGAAAAACACCTGCACGACTTTTCAAAATTTCTACCCGCGCGCGCTGTCCGAATCCTAAAAAAAAATGGTTTTCCAACATTTATGTTACATGAGCTCGCGCGAGCTACTTTCGCACGCTCTTGCAACGGGGTTCGCGCGCCTGCCAGGGGCCACAATCCCTTGCGGTTGCGCCATAGGTTGCGCCCTCGGCCGCCGAGAATAAAACGTCCCCCTAGGGTTAACAACTTCTGTGGGTGTGTACTCCACGCCAGTGTAGTAGCCACGGTCGTCCGCAGGCCACGAAGTGAAGTGTCCGAACGTCATAGGGCGGGAAGCTGGGTGTGGGTGGTGGCGAAGAGTCGTGTGGATATTTGGTAGAGCTTGCACTGCCCCCCCACAAAGTGGGGGTATTGGCTGGCGTCGCATGAAAACCCTGGCACTGGTGAGAACACTGAGCGTTCGGGTAAAGTGATTGCTGTTGTTGTTGTTGTTGTTCTTCTTCTTATTATTCTTTTTCTTCTTGTTGAACATTATTAATTCTAAAGAATAATTATTGTTGGGACCCCTGGTGCACGGCCCCCCTGCGCCGCCTAGGCCGCAGCTACATTTTCATCATTTTCGTGAGGAAGCCTCAGGTAATTCGATGTGATCAAGATCCGGTTGTTTTGTTCCCCCCCGCTTTCCCTTGCAAAAAACACTATAAAATGACATTTCTTGTTCTAATATAATCAAATTTCAAGAATCCCTTGCAAAAAATAAGGTAAAGTGGACATTCGCGCGCGCAAGACGAAATCCTTCCAAAAGCTTAGTGTTCGGAGCGATTTCAACATAAAAACATCAAAAAACTAATGGTTTTTCAACAAAAAAATGTCAAAATCTCATCCCGCGCGCTCTTGCGGATTCGTAGGAAACCCAACACTTTTTAAACATTTCTGTCAAACGGGCTTTTGCGAGCAACTTTTTCGAACTTCTGCGACAACGGTTGCGCACCTGCCAGGGCCATCATCCCTGTCAAATAATACCATGCGGGACACATTCGTTTTTTCTTCGCGCGCGCACGCCGAAATCTCCAAAAACCATTGGGTTCTTAAGAATTTTACCACCGCGCATCATAAAATCACACGAATCGCACCGTGGGTTAACAACTTCTGTGGGTTAACAAGGCTTAACAACTTCTGTGGGTGTACGAACGTAGGCTTAACAACTTCTGTGGGTGTGTACTCCACGCCAGTGTAGTAGCCACGGTCGTCCGCAGGCCACGAAGTGAAGTGTCCGAACGTCATAGGGCGGGAAGCTGGGTGTGGGTGGTGGCGAAGAGTCGTGTGGATATTTGGTAGAGCTTGCACTGCCCCCCCACAAAGTGGGGGTATTGGCTGGCGTCGCATGAAAACCCTGGCACTGGTGAGAACACTGAGCGTTCGGGTAAAGTGATTGTTGTGGTTGTTGTTGTTGTTGTTGTTGTTGTTGTTGTTGTTGTTGTTATGATGTTTGCTGTTGCCATCCTCCCACACGCGACCCACACGCAACCCACCCGTCGACCAACCCGTCTTCGGAAGGCTTCTGGACGTTCCAGCTCGCTTCGAGCCCGCGAGGGCCTCTGGAAGCATGGGGCCTCTCTCCTGGGCACCTCCCGGGACGTCTGGGGGGGGGGTCCGCAGCACAATTTGCGATCTCATGTCCAGGAGGGGGATCTTGCCCAGCTGCACGCTCTTGTCGGATCCGTTGGTCACCTGGCGGGCGACGAACCTAGACCTCCGTCGATGTGTGTCTCAATCCCGAGCGGTCCGGGCGCGGAGCGAGGCTCCCAAGGAGGTGGTCCAGAGCCCTGGGGCGCCGCGGATTGAAACCCACCTTCACGTCGTCGGGGGCCCGGGACGGCACAAGGGGTCTGACGCACGATGGCATTGCGACCTGACGCGGCGACTCACGCAATCCGCGGTTGCGGTAAGCCATGCACTTCGAAAGGAGGGCGCGCACGCGCGACCTCCCGTGGACAGTCCGCGCGCGAATCTCCTCGCCATGGGGCTTCTTTTTGCAGCGGCCAGGGGGTCTGCGCTGGGTTGGCCTGGAGAAAACCTGTCAAGAGCCGGGGCTCGAGGGCACATCCGCTCCGCATCGGTCCCGAAACCCCTGCCGGGGTCTCGGAGCTGACCCAGCCGGGGTCCCGAAACCCCTGCCGGGGTCTCGGTCCCGAAACCCCTGCCGGTCCCGAAACCCCTGCCGGTTCCAGCCGCGCCCAGCCGTGGCGACGAGGGGGCCCACTCCGGCCCCCTCTTCTGCCGGCTGGTGCCAGTGCATGGGCCACCTCAGCCACCCAGCTGGCTCCCAGAGAGGAGGGCGCTCACGCGCGACCTCACGCCGTCAGCTCGCGCGTGAGTCTCCGCGCCATCGACCCCCTCTCCTGCCGCAGCCCGCCTGCACGCTGTCCGCGGAGAGGGTGCGCACGGCCGCCTCGGCCGACCCGTCCCGCAGGCCCTCGTAGGTGTAGGCCTCCCTTAGTGCGACCGCGAGGCTGTCGTGCGCGCCGTGGACGCACCGGATCTCGCAGCGGGGCTCCACACCCTCCTCCTCCACCTCCTGCTCCAGACCCTCCTCCGTGATGCGCAGCATCGACACCCACGCCTCGAACCGCGTCCAGAACCTGCCCATGTACGCGTAGTCCAGGAGGACAAGGACCCTGGCGCCGAGATACACGAACACCATGTTTGAGAGCATGGTGTAGAACGCCGCGTTGTCCTCCAGGGTCCTGCTCTTCCGGCCGCCCTGCGGGAGCGAGATGAAATCGTAGAACACATACTCGACCTCCGAGTGCTCGACGAGATAACTCTTCAAGGCTGTGAGCTGCTCGTTGGCCAAGTCTGGGTGCTCGGGGTCCTCCCACCGGTGGCTGACCGCAAGGTACCGGTCTCGGTACTCACCTTTCACCACGGAGTCGAAATCTATCGTGCGGCGCTCGATCCAGTCGGGGAACCGCGACCTCATCTCCTGCAGCGTGACCATCCTCGGGAACTCCGCGTCTGAGGCCTCCCGGAGCTTGGCGGCACGGACGAAGAAGAAGTCGCAGCTCATGGTAAACCACTCGAACATGAGATCCTCCTTTGGGCCACGCGACACGCACGAGCGGCCCTGTAGGAAACAGCAGCCGTTGGCGCGCGCCCTCCGAGGGCCGCGGGGCGGCCCAATGCTGGTGCGCACGCCAGTGCGGGGAGGGACCCTGTGTACCCGCGCCGACGGTCTCCCAAGCGAAGGGGCACTCGTCGGGCGTCCGGATAGGTGGGGCAGGCTCGATGCAACGCGCTCTGCACGGCCCAGGGACGAAGGCAAGCTCGGCTGCCAGGCGGGTTCGGCTCCCGACCCCACGCTGGGCTAACCCGGACATTTTCCGATGTGTTTTTGTCCCACTGCGCGGCCCCAGAGATCCCGACCCCTTCCCCAGGGGCTCAGGGGTACTCATGCGGCCCCGATCCATTTTGGAGGGTCCTGGGGTCCCACAGTGGGCCCCAGAGGCCGAAATCTACAAAAACACGCGAATCGTAACAAGCCATGACGTCTAAAATCTGGGTTTCACGCGCAGACGATGCCGCTACTCCCCACACCCTGGACATCTCCCGAGGGCAATTCTGACCAGGATTCCGAGGCGAATCCAGGCGTGCGACGAGGGCCTCGCAGGAAGCCCAGAAAGGCGAAAACGAGGCAAGGGTAGCGGTATGGGTACCTTTGGAGATCTGGAATCGTGATTGGGTGGGGTTTTACGTGCCGCTGGGTCCCCGGAGCTCTGGACCATGTCCCAGGGACCAGTTTTTCGTCCCAGATCGATTGTGTTGATGGTCCTGGGCCCAGCGAGGGCCCCTGGACGCCGAAAACGAAAATTGCGAAAAAAACTGTCCCTTGATTTTAATCGGTGCCTTTCCTCCTCTGACCCCCTGCCGACGCCCGAACATTTGGCGTGCAGTCGATCCTTCAGCTCCCGGCGGCACGGCGCGGACGGGCCAGGGGCGGGGAGCGACTCGGCGGGGGCGCCGGGCAGGGCCAGTAAATCGACCCACTTGCCCGGGCTGCTGGGCAGCGGAGCCAGCACCTGAGGGGCAACAGTAGCTGGCGGCGCGCAGCAAGGGAGTGGAGGGAGGGGGCGGGGTGGCTTCCAAGACCTCCTCGAGTCATGAAGCAATCACGTCGGCAAGCTTCTCGGCATTTTCGGCCTCGCCGGGCCTCGGGACTGTCAAAAGGGGCGCATGACGAAGAAATCGGTCTGGGGGAATGGGTCGAGACCTCTGGAGGCCGACGTTGAGAACAAATCATGACGTCGGGGGTCTGAGGGGAGCGGAGGGAGGGAGGGAGGCGTCTCAGAAGAAGGGTGCTTCTCAGAGGGCGCCGGCCTGACATCTATAGATATTTTTGTTTGGTTGCTAGAACCTAGAATCAACCTGGCACACCTTGCCTCAGCCAGCCGTCAGAGAACAGGAAGGGCGGGCGGACACACTGAGGAGGTGCCTCAACGCCCGCCCCCCGTTCAGTCCAGCGCTCTCTCCCGGAAGGCGCCTCGCTCACACTGTAAGAGTGAGCGGCACGTCTCACCTAGGCAGAGCTTCACCTCAGAAGGGTGCCTGCGTCGGCGCAGGAGCGAGCGGCGATACTCCGCGGTGGGATTCCAAGGCACACCCTCGCACGGCAGGATACAGTCGACCTGCAGAGTAAGGATAGGCATCCCTCCCAGGGGTACCCTTGCATCCTTGCTTCCTGGGTCCATCCTTGGATACTTTCGTTGGCCGCGCCCCGCTCGAAACGCTTCGAGATAGGCGTCCAAGGGCCTTGCATCCTTATCGCGCATCCTTACTCTGCGGGTTGACTGTAAGCCTGCATCCCCGCTCGCTCGAGAACACACCGCACCGATCGTAAAACGTGTGCTGGCCAGAGCGGTACAACGCGTGGCCCAGCGCCCCAACGCGCAAGGCCGACGGGGTCAGGTGCTCCCCCCGCCCCCCGCCCCACGACGAAACGGCGGTCCACCCGAAGACATCTATAGATAGGGCCTGCGCCTTCTGAGAAGCAGGGGTGCTTCTAAGGTTCAGTCGGGCGTGTCCCCTTACAGCAAGATTTTCAACGAACAAATACATAAAAAAAACTCCCAAATGGTCAAAACATGCTCAACAAGTAGTCCCCAGACTATTTCCCTACCTAGGCTCTGCCTAGAAGGGTTCTTACTCGGAAGCTTTAAGGGGCCGGGCAGTGGAACGCGCCCCGGGCGGTTCCCCCAGTATCCGCCCCGCGGTTCCCCCAGTTACGTCCCTTTAGCTTAGCTTTGCTTATCTCATCTTAGCTTAGCTCAGCTTAGCTCAGCTTAGCTTAGCTTAGCCTAGCCTAGCTTAGCTTAGCTGTAGCTTAGCCTAGCCTAGCTTAGCTTAGCTCAGCTTACCTTAGTTTAGCGCAGCATTCGCATAGCATAGCATAGCATAGCATAGCATAGTATAGTATAGCATCGCATATCATCGCATAGCATAGCGCAACATAGCATAGCGCAGCATCGCATAGCATAGCATAGCATAGCATATCATAGCATATCATAACATAACATATCATAGCATAGTGCAGCATATCATTGCATAGCATAGCATAGCATAGCGCAGCATATCATAACATAGCATAGCGCAGCATAGCACACCATAGCATAGCAAAGCTAATCATATCATATAATAGCATATTATAGCATAGCGCAGCATAGCAGATCATATCATAGCATTGCACAGCATAGCGCAGCATAACATATCATTTCATCGCCTAGCATGCCATAGCATAGCGCAACATATCATAGCATAGCATAGCGCAGCATAGCATAGCATAGCATAGCATAGCATAGCATAGCCGCTACTGCTACAACTGCGACGATGAGGAGAAGGAGGAGGACGGCGTTTACCGTTACTACTAAGATTGCTCTCTTCGGGGCTCCAACTCCTGGGTAGGGTCGCTCTGGGATAATTTTTGACTATTTTTGAATATTCCCCCTGTAGAGGGACAGGCCCGACTTAAGCCTAGCGCCTGAACGCGGAAGGCCGACGGGTTCAGGTGCTCCCCCCGCCCCTCGCCCCACGACACAACGGCGGTCCACCCGGATACAGCTACTTATAGATAGGGCCTGCGCCTTCTGAGAAGCAGGGTCGGCGTTGGACAAACCTCCCTTTAATAAACCTCCCTTTAGTGAAAACGACCTCCCTTTAGTAAAAACAAACCGAACACGGTCAATTCCTTGATCGACGTGTCAGGGTAGGAGGTCTGTCCACCTCCGACAGGGGTGCTTCTAAGGAGCTCTCCGCCATCTCCCCACCCGCCTCTGCGCGTGCCCGAGAGAGGGGGGACCGACCTAAGGGGGGGGGGGGGGAAGCGTCGACCTGGAATCGGCGACGCAGTGCGAATAGAGCGGCGGCGATGGGCCCCCGAGGGCGCACCCCCACGGCAGGGGTGGGCCATCGGGCCCACGCTGGCGGCCAACGGGCCATTATGGGTCGACGCCTCCCCCCCTCAGCCTGTCCTTCCGCACGGGGGAAGCGGGCCCGGGGGGGCCCGGACCCTGCCTGGACCCTGGGGCCTTCCCCCGAGACGGGACCTTCCTTTCGAGTCGTGTCCCGACGCTCCGGGGGCCCGCGGAGGGCCGGGGAAGGCCGAGAACATTGAAATACCTCAGGACACGCGTCCCTCAGGACTCGTGTCCCCCATAGCGATGTACCTCCTCGACCTCCTCCTCCTCCTCCTCCTCGAACTCCTCAACCTCCTCGACCTCCTCGACCCCCTCGACCTCCTCGACCTCCTCGACCTCCTCCTCCTCCTCCTCCTCCTCCTCCTCCTCCTCCTCTTCCTCCTCCTCTAACGTTGCCCCGGAGCACCCGGCCGCGGAGGTTGGGGTAGTTTGACAGGTCCTCGCTGGCGGCGCGCGCCAGGGGGGGGTCAGCCACGAGGGGAGGCCGCCCTCGCAGCAGGCGGGGGAGCCTCCAAGGAGGGACGGGGGGGCCCAAGAGGTTTCCAGGAAGCCTCCTGTCCAGACCCCTGGGAGTCGCAACAAAAATCACGAGGGCAAATGTTTCCCCATCTTCGGCCTCCGGGGGCCCTCGCCGGGCCTCGGGGCCGTCAAAAAAAAGCGCAGAATGAAAAAGCGGTCCCGGGGTATGGATCGAGACCTTTGGAAGTCGCGGTGATGACAAAAACCGTGACGTCGTAGGTCTGCGTCAAAAGCCGGACAGGGCTTCCAATATTTTTGCTTTGAAGGAAAAGGAGCGGACACCACCGTGCCAACGTCCCATCGTGAAGCATGTCTACTGGGAGCACTGCCACTGCCTCACAGGTATGACCGCCATGGCCAAAACTGGCCCTACCTGGCGCGCGGAGCGCGCCAGGGGCGGCGCTGGAGGCGCCGCCAAGGGGCTCCAGCCCACATCCCAAAAAACCGGGCGGACCGTCGACAGTTGTTCCTAAATGCTGCCGTCGCTTCGTCCTCGATAAAAGGGGCCCCACCGAGCTGCTGAACGTAGCCGTGATGTGCGCAGAGCATCAGCGAAATGCCAGGCGCCTGCGCTGGCGCAGGCTCCTGTCCAGGGCGCTGTGCGGAGTGCGGACGGACCGCCCCCCCCCCCCCTCCTCGAAGGGCTTCTACGAAGGATCCTGTCTTCGCGGCCTCGAGGAGGTCGAGGAGGTCATGGAGCAGGAGGAGAAGAAGGAGGAGGAGGAGGTCGAGGAGGTCGAGGGGGTCGAGGAGGTCGAGGAGGTCGAGGAGGTCGAGGAGGAGGTGGAGGAGGAGGAATGGGAGGAGGAGGAGGAGGATGAGGAGGAAGAAGAAGAGAAGGAGGAGGAGGAGGAGGAGGAGGAGGAGGTCGAGGAGGTCGAGGAGGTCGAGGAGGAGGAGGAGGAGGAGGTCGAGGAGGGCCGACGTTTCTGGCGATGGCCAGACGAGCCTCCCCGCCTGCCCAGAAGGGACTCGACCCGCCCTCGCGCTGGCCCCCTCTTGCGCGCCGCCGGACCTCGGCCAGGAGGACCCGGATGAAGTCGACCTGGAGGAGGAGACGGCAGGGGCAGAAGCGATCAGCGACTAGACCCACACCGCTGGGAGGAGGAGGAGGAGGAGGAGGAAGAAGAGGTGGAGGAGGATGTGGAGGAGGAGAAGCTTGGGGAGGAATATGAGGACCAAGAGGAATTGATGGATGGAACGCCTGTCTTGCCGTGTCCCCTGTGTCCCCCGTGAAGCTGTGTGTATGGGATCCTTACGCAGGAGGGGATGCAACGAAAATTTAGTTGGGATGCGGAAGGACATACTAGCAGTATGTGTCCTCCTCGGAAGCATGCGTTCGAAACGAACATATAGCACAAGCATCTTGTAGCGTATCGTTTCCCGAACATCGAGCGGTATGGCCAGAAAACGCCCGCCATGGGGCATGTACTATAAGACGTCTCGGCGCACGCGTCGCCCCTGGAGGGGCGACGCGCACATAATTAGCATACTGGGGTAGCGCCAATTTGATAAACGTTGGAGGGCGGGGTCCGAGGAGCTTCCGTCGGATATCCTCGGCCATTTTCGGCCTTCAAAGCCCCTGCTGGGCCCTGGGACAATCAACAACACGATCCGGGGTGACCAACTGGTCCCGGGGTAGTGGTCCAGACCTCTCGGGAGCCGCGCTATGAAACATCACGGCGTCGGATGTCTGGGAGCATTTTGTGAACAGCACATTTCGGAGGCTCGTGCGGGTTTCCTGGAGGGGCGCTGGGCCCCCCCTTGCGGCGCCTCCAGCGCCGCCCCTGGCGCGCTCCGCGCGCCATAGGCGGGGACCTTGCGCCGATCCAAGAGATCCGCGTGGACCTGGACATCTATAGACATATATATATATATATATATATAGACATATATATATATATATATTATGCACATATATTGGTTTACATTCACATACATAATTACACACATGTATATGTATACACACATATCTGCATATGGATCCTTACATCGACACCATCCGACGGAGTTTGCATGTACCTCGAGGGACTGCGGCGGTGTATAAAGCCGCTGGCTCTCATTGGTGATATATATATATATTATTGTGGCGGATTTGTGTTTATGTAGATTTGTCGTCTTCGGCGACCACGATGCCCTTGCCGCCGCCCTGCTCGGCGTCAAAGTGCACGCAGATGCTGGAGTTCTCGGGGTCGTGGGCGAGGATGGTCTGCTGCTTCCCGAAGGTCACAAGGGCCTTGTCCTAGGATCGGCGGCCATCAAAAGGGAGGGGAGTGAGAAGGAGGAGGCCTTCTCAGAAGGCGGCGGGGCTTCTCAGAAGCCCTTCGACCCTCTGAGAAGTCCTTTGTGTCTCCGGGGAAGGCTTCGAACACTTCTCAGAAGGCCGGAGGACTTCCGCGCCGTCTGAGAAGGCCCGCCCCCTCTCACTTCCCCCTGGGCTGGCCGCTGGTAGGAGGGAGGTGCAGACCAGGGGGGGGGACCTCAGGGCATCCCGAGCGCAGCTGATTGTTCAAAGCCCGCGGGAGCTCGCGGTGTTGCGCGCGAAGCGAAGGCATATCTTCCTACAGGCGGACTTGTGAAGAATAGCAAAAAAGCCTGAATCATAACACACCGTCAAAAGAGCACGAAACATCACCACCCTACTATGATAATCTACTCTCCTTGCATCTGCCTCCTGTAGAGGGACATGCCCGACTTGAATATGCCCTGGCAAACAGCATCTAGATTCTTGATGGGCGTCCCCACTGCGCCAGCTCTGTGCGCGCTCCTGGCTAAGGCAGCCAGGGAGGCACATGGCCCATTCCAGAGAGAACATCGGAATATAAAACAATGACCTCTCTTTTTTCCCCCCAGGCACAGGCCAGAACATAATTTACCCGACTGTGTCTGGATGGCCGTCTTGCTGCATCAGCCGCTGCTGCAGCAAACCAATGACCTCTTTGGGCAAGGCAGCAAAAAAACGTCCGCCAGCTCCCGCCGGGGGGAACCGCCTTCGCTTTACTTTCGCCAGCCTTCCGCCAGCGTTCCGCTGAGGAAGAGAGATGCCAACTCCGCGATCCCTGAAAGTCGAGGCCCTTGCTCAAAGGCCCCATACCCAAGCATCCGACGTCTTGATTCCCAAGACAGCTGAACAGCTTGGGGTGCTCTCGTGATACAAGCTGGTTGCTAGTTCTGCCTGCGGGACAGCCCCAGAGGGACATGTTTAAATACACTGGAACGGAACGGGTCGTTTCGCCTGAGACATGCTCACTGCTCTCGTTGGCTGGGGTTGAGCGTTTCAATTAAGACATCCTCGCACCTCAGAGCTCACGCGCAAGAGGCGGTCTGGCACGTTAGCCTGGGACATCTGCGCGCGAGGTGGTCCAGTGCGTTTCGCTCGAGACATCATCATGCCCAAACGAACATTTGACTACACTTCTGTTGTCAACGTGTGCTCCGGGAGGGGGCTGGGCGCCGCCTGTGAACATCCTCGCACCTCTGGCCTCCGAGGTGCCGCGCGCGAGGAGGTCCAGCGAGTTTCGCCAGACACATCCTCGACACTCTGGGCTCCGAGAAGCCGCGCGCGAGGTGGTCTGGCGCGTTTCGCCTGAGACATTCCGGCAAAGCGGGGCCCCAGGATGCTGCTCGCGAGGTAGTCCGCTGCGCTTCGCTTGAGACGTCGTGTCAACTCTGGGTTCCGAGATACCGCTCGCGAGGTGGCCCGCCGCGTTTCGCCTGAGACATCCTCGCAACTCTGAGCTCCGAGATGCCGCGGGAGAGGTGGTCCAGCGCGTTTCGCCTGAGGCATCCTTGCAACTCTAAGCTGCGAGATGCTCCGCGCGAGGTGGTCCAATCCGTTTCACCGGAGACATCGTCATCCCCAAATGAACCATTTGATTCCACCTCTCTTGTCAAACTCTGTTCTGGGATTGATCTGGATGCCGTCTGTCTGAAGTATACTTGCAAATCTAAAGCTCCGAAATGCCGCCCGCGAGGTGGTCTGGCCCGTTTCGCCTGAGACATCCTTGCAACTCTGGCCTCCGAGGTGCCGCGCGCGAGATTGTCCGGCCCGTTTCGCATGAGACTTCCTCGCAAATCTGGCCTCCGAGATGCCACGCGCGAGGTGGTTCAGCGACTTTCGCCTGACACATCCTGGCAACACTGGCCTCCGGGATGCCGCGCGCGAGATGGACAAGCCTGTTTCGCTTGAGACACCCTCGCACCTCTTGACCTCCGAGATGCCGCGCGCGAGGTGGTCCAGCCAATTTCGCCCGAGACATCCCGTCAACTCTGGGTTCCGAGATACCGCTCGCGAGTTGGTCCGCCGCGTCTCGCCGGAGACATGCTCGCAACTCTGATCGGGCGTTGGCAGAACTGGGTTTCGTGGGACCTGGTTTAGTGATGTGTACTGGGGGACGCCCCCCCTGCCCCGTTCCACTAATAAGAACTGCCGTCACCCGAAAAAAGACCAGCTACGGCAGACCTGGTTCAATGATTCTGGCCAATTCAATGGCTCCGGGGCCCTACCACTAACCGGGTCCCCTTACCTGGGGTCCTGGCTTTTCCCGATCTGAGCTCCGAGATGCCGCGCGCGAGGTGATCCAGCTCGTCTCGCCTGCGACACCCTCGCAGCTCTGAGAGCCGAGATGCCGCCCGCGAGGTGGTCCGCCGCGTCTCGCTCGAGACATGCTCGTACCGCTGAGCTCCGAGATGCCGCCCGCGAGGTGGTCCAGCCCGTTTGGCATGAGACATCCCAGCAACTCTGGAAACCGAGATGCCGCACGCGAGATGGTCTGGCCTGTTTCGCCTCCTCCTCCTCCTCCTCCTGCTCCTCCTCCTCCTCACACCCTCGCAACTCTGAGCTCCGAGATGCTGCGCGCGAGGTGGTCCAATCCGTTTCGCCTGCGACATCCCTGCAACTCTGAGAACCGAGATGCCGCCTACGAGGTGGTCTGGACCGTGTCGCCTCAAATCTGTTCGCAACTCTGGGCTCCGTGATACCGCGCGAAACATGTTCTGGCCCGTTTTGCCTGAGACGTCCTCTCAAGTCTGAGCTCCGGGATGCCGCGCGCAAAATGGTCCGGCACGTTTCGCCTGAGTCATCGTGGCAACTCTGGGTTCCGAGATGCCGCCGCGCGCGAGGTGGTCCAGCCCGTCTCGCCTGAGATATATTCACAACTCTGGGAACCGAAATGCAGTGCTCGAGGTGGACCGACAGCGCTGGGCTCCGAGATACCGCTCGCGAGTTGGTCTGGCCAGTTTCGCTGGAGGCATCGTCGCAGTTCGGGGCTCTTACATGTAGCGAGCGAGGTGGTCTGGACGGGTTCGCCTGAGACATCCTGGCAACTCTGGGTCAACAGTTCGCCCTGCCAAAGATCAAGCCCCACGCCGCGAGCGCGGCCTTTGAATCGACGCGAGTCTCGCTCCAGACCTGCGCTGCTGAAAAGCAAGCTCAAAACATCTCCCTGCTTGGCCCCTCGACCGACGTCGAAGTGCTTGCTGCCGCGGGCGGGTCCGAACCGGCCCAGACGCACACTTGATGACGAATGAACCTATCCAAGATTAGCGCCTAGACAAAGCAAGGCTTCGAATGCTGCTTGGTGTCATTTCTGTGAGAAACCTTTGTCAAATCCGCACTGACAATCCAAAAGTCGCACACCCGCCCCCCAAATGTCCCGCAAACTTCCCCAATCGCTGCAGACATATCGCGAAGCGATGTCAGCAACCGACCTGGTCAGCGGCCTGTTGAATATCAAGCGTTGGTCGGATGCGTGCGAAGACGAATCTGGAGGAGATCTTGTACGTCATTTCCAGAAGAGCGACAGGCCGCCAATTCTTGACATCTTTCCGCGGGGGGGCCCTCGGAAGCATCGAGGACTGAGTTTCTCGGCAACTGGGTTCGAGAATTCCTGTTTGAAGCAGGTGGTTGAAAAACGGACTAACAGTAAACGCCCCAGAGGCGCCAGGCCGCCATGCGCATAGATCTGGTGGGCGGCGCAGTTCATGTCTGCGCGCTTCCCATGGTCTCCGCGGCGTAGACTGCAGCTCGACCATCGTGAAAGGCTGAATGTTGGAAACGTCTTCAATGCCAGATGTGCGATGCCAATGGGCACGTGATTCCGAGGGGCCCGTTGACGAACTGTGCGAAGTGTTCCACCGAATCCCCGAATTCATCTGCAGGGGTGGGACGTCGTCGGGGGTTAAGCACAGGGGGCGCGCGAATTCCAGGGATGCGTCTGGCGCAGGGACATCTCTTGAGATGTTCAGCAGCCTGTTATCGCAATGAGTGGGCACATTCCCCCAGGCAGCTTTCACATCATCTTCGACAGACAAACGCGCGCACGTTTGTCGGACATACTGCGACGCCTGCGACGCGCAGCCTGGCTTTCCAGGTCTTTGCGCGGAAATGCGGGAGCTTCGCCGCAATCGGCTCGATCGCGGGTCGCCTTGGATATCGCGGCCTCCACTGCTGAGAGGCACATGACGTAAGTTTTGTCCAAAGTCTGTCGGGCGGCATCCGGACATGCATTGCCCCGCCAATCTGGGCCCAGCTTTGGCTTCCACCGCTTGGTTTTCTGGCGACGGGCGTCCAACGTCCTCCTGCGTTCGCCAACCAGCAGGCCCGCCAACGCAGCGCGGTGATCAGTGCCAATATCTAGATGATTCTTTGGTCGGCACTGCTAGTAAACCAGGCTGGAAACCAGAAGAATACAATCAATGCGCCGCCTCGCCAGAACTGAGTGTCCAGAGAGTGTTCACGGACTCGTTGAACGCGTCCTCTACGTTGGCAGCAATCAGCGAGCTCTGTTTTAGCAAATCAACCAAAATCGCACCCCTGAAACCGACGTCAAATTGAGTGTTGAAGACGCCTCCGGTAACACATCTACGCTCCGTGCGTCGCGCCATATCCATCTTTTCAAACGTGCTCGTCGCGCGCGCGAACATTTTATCAGGGCCATGGCCAGCACGCGGCATTTTTTAGCTCAACAGCTCTTCTCCACCAAATGCATGAAGTCTGACGGTGGTGGGGGACATTAGCATGCTAAAGTGAGGTTAGTCCGAGTCGCCTGGCGACTCGCACACCAGCACGCTGGGCGCAAGCCGATGTCTGCGACTGAATCGGCGTGCCTGCGGTGAAACGCGCTTGCTAACCCTCCAACCCGGACAAAGCAAACGTAGAACTGTGCCCTCCAGATAAATCATGGTCAGATGACTGCGTCCTTGCTTCTGCCAAGCAGGCAACGTCCCATCCAACGTCAACACGCTCGCTCAGCAATTCGGCCTGCCTGCCGATTGAATTCACGCGCGTTTTTGTTTGTGTTGTTTGTTTTTTGATTATTCATTTTTTCAAACATATTGAGTTCATGCTGACGGCGCTGTTGGCCCCCAGGTCCATCAATGAATTCTGCATTCATGACGTCGTTTGCTGTCGATCGGCGCTGCCCCTGAAACCCGACTCGGGCAGTGAGTGCTCTTGCCCTTCTCCGACCCTTTCCCTGGCCTTTCGCTCAGATGTTCTTGTCATTTGTTCGCGAACGGCGTGGCAGAGATCGTCAAACTTTGGGGTCGTGAAGCTCCTGCTGCCAACCATCCCCGAAAGACAGCTCGAGAGTCTATCCACAGACCTTGGACGAAAATGCCTTCTCATTCCCGAGGCACAGGGCGGCGTCCTCTCTCTCCGCGTACAGTGCACATCGGGACCATCCCAATCGACCATGAGTTCTTCCACGGAAAACACGAAAGATTCAGGCAGACGTTGTTCAAGAGGAAGGCCGTGCTTGGCCCAACTAGTAGCGCCATTCCAAATGAATCTAGCGGTCCGAATTCTGCTGATCGCGCGGTCCTGGTCCATTCCCGAAACGAACTCGGCGTACAGGAGGCCTGACAACAACAACGACTCGGTGCAAATGCTGTTGGGAACTGGGCCCCCGTCAAACCTGAACCGGTCTCGTGACCACTTTGGCCGCATCATCTTCGGACCAGTCCGTCCTCAACCTCCTACTACTCTAAGGGGGCCCAGGGAAGGCTTGCCTATCTTGCTCTCGAGGTCTACGACCTTCGCGCGAAGCTCGGCCTCAATCGCTTGCCCATTCCCTGAAACTGAGCTTGCCTGGGAAGCTCTACCCGACATGGCTGGAGTCAGCTCTTCGGTCTGCGCCTTCTGTGCAGAAAGCTCGGCATCGATGGTCCCGAAACCTCGTGCCCATGTGCCCCACGGTGTGGTCGATTCGAGTCGTATCAGACTGCGCACATTTCATGTCAAACTGGATGTTGCGAACTTCTTTCGTGGCCGCGCCGGAGGTGCTCTCCATGTCGCCGCACCTCTGGAAGAACGGCTCCAACTTATGGCCCATAAAGCCGGCGATGGCTGCGAAAGTGACGTCTCGTGAAGATCATTGTTGTTCCCTGCAATTCGCGGGTCTCCGGTGCTCCGACATGCAACGAAAGCGCAATGCTCTCGTCGTTCCCCTTCCTGTTGTTCGTCCTTATTTGTGTGATCGTCGAGGCCGTCCATCTCCTGGAACGTTCTGGAAATACGATGGACGTTGACTGCTGGGGGTGCACCAGTCGAAAATATGATGCGCTTCCCGATTAGAGTACCTGGAAGACGCGTGCTCCGAATAGGGCTCCTGGGAATACGGCTCGGATCACCCAAGTAATCCAAAGCTGAATCTGGAATCTGGAATGTACTTTTCGAGCTCGGCCTCAATATCACTTGAATACATGATCGCGAAGTGGTAGTGGGATGAGCGTAAAGTAAGAGGATGCTGCGATGTACGTACCTGATGTGTTGAGCCTCAAACTTGAGCCGAGATGATGAGTGCGATGAGCCACGAACTTGGCTCAAGCACCGCGGTGCGAGACGAGGATAAGAGGGAGGAGAAGGAGGATGAGGTGTAGTGGAAGGGGGACGGGCGAAGGCAGGCAACGATGATGACGTGGATGCGGAGGATAAGCTGGAGGAGGGGGAGGAGCGAATCTCGCCGCAAGGAGGAGGGGGAGGAGGAGGAGGAGGAGGAGGAGGAGGAGGAGGAGGAGGAGGAGGAGGAGAAGGAGGAGGAGGAGGAGGAGGAGGAGGGAGGAGGAGGAGGAGGACGTCAACGACGATGGCGAAAAGCTCGACGACGACGTCGACGGCGCAGGCCGACCAGGAGCAGCTAGGAGGACGCGCGAACACACTCGGGAGCCACCTTGGGGAAAAAAGCGGCCCTTTGGGGATGCAGGGCTCTGGCCAGAACTGTGTTCTGCACGGGGCCCCTGCACAGCCAAGACCCTCTCCCCAGGGGCTGGCGCTTCATGCTGACTCGTTCTGGGGGATCCCTGGGGCCTTGCGAGGGCCCCCCAGGGACCGAGACCGACGAACAACTGCCGACCCGTGCCCCAAGCGTCGGAGGTCTGGGCCGCGCGAGATGGCGCAGCACGCGCCCCTCCGTGGCCCCGAGACAGATCGGCCAAGAAGGCGGGACGAAGGGAAATCTGCAACAAAAACAGTCTCCGGTCGGCGGCAAGCGAGGGGGCGAAGCTAGGAGGAGAAGACCCTCCCGGGGCCCAAACTGACAATCGTCTCGCGAGCCGCGTCCCGCAGTGGCGGCGAAGGGCCCCCTTCCCCGAGCTCCGGCGGCGCGAGCCATAGACCCCATCTCCCTGCGTCACTCCTCGAGCCGGATCGATCACTGCGGCTCCCGGGGCCCGAAGCCAGGCGGAAACGCCCGTGCTGGGCCACCTCCGGCCCCCCGCCAGCGGCGCCTCGCCGCGGGACCGATCCGCATCAAAATCGGTCGCGATCGATCTCGGAATCGGTCGCGACCGATTTGGGAGTGCCGAGCGGTCGCGAGCGAGCGCGAGCGACAAAATCTTGGCATCCAATGATCGAGGTTTTGCTGGCCCGAACCCGTGCTGGGCCCCCCAGCCCCCCAGCCTGCTCCAAAGAGTATCCATGCGCAGCCCTCGCCACGGGACTAGGCCCCCCAGACGCCGACACGACGAAGAATCTTTCTTCAATGCGTTGGAGGAGATCCCCTGCGACCCGACGGCGCGAAACATTACAACATCGAACAAATCAACAAATCACGACAAGACCTCAAAACCCGATCTTTCTGCGCCATTCTCCGAGACAGATCGATCCGTGAGGGTCCCGGGGCCCGAAGCCAAGCAAAAACGCCCGGCTCGAACAAGAACGAATCGACAGGATCTGAACTTTCGTCTCGACTTTTCCCATGCGCTGGAGGTCTACCCGTGTCACGAAGCATCACCGCTTCAGCAAGAACAGTGCATCCATCACCATCACCATCACCATCATCACCATCATCAGCATCATCACCATCATCAGCATCATCATCATCATCATCATCATGGTCAGCATGGTCATCGTCATCGTCATCGTCATCGTCATCGTCATCAGCACCATCATCATCATGGTCATGGTCATCGTCATGGTCATCGTCATCGTCATCATCATCATCATCATCATCATTATCATCATCATCATCGTCATCATCATCGTCATCGTCATCGTCATCGTCATCAGCATCATCATCATGGTTATGGTTATGGTTATGGTCATGGTCATGGTCATGGTCATCGTCATCGTCATCAGCATCATCATCATCATCGTCGTCATCATCATCATCATCGTCATCATCATCGTCATCGTCATCGTCATCGTCATCGTCATCATCATCATCATCATCATCATCATCATCATCATCATCATCATCATCATCATCATCATCATCCCCGCCAGCTTCCGCCACCCTTCCGCCGCCCTCTGCCGCAGAGGAGATGCCATCTCCTTGGAGCCTCGGAGGCGAGAGGGCCTTCCTGGGGCGCGCCGTGTGCACCCCTCGCCGCGGGACCAGTCCTGGCGCAGCACCCACCCCTCCGCGGCCCCGGCGCCGCAGGCCAGGGCCGCCGTGCAGAAGCGAGCGAACGTGGCGGCCGGCGCGACGCCCGTGGGGAGGTCCGAGGCATCCAGGACCACCTCTGGCGGCGGTCACAGTCTCTAGACGTGCTCTCGTGGTGAGAAGACCACTTCGGGAAATTGTGTGACGTTTTCGGTTTCCGGGGGCCCACGCCGGGCTCCCAAATCCGGGACTGTCACGCAACAACTAAGGATTAAAAACCAGTCCTGGGAAACGGGCCGGGACTGCTGGGGACGCCGCATTTGGAAACAATTAGGACAGGGAGTGGACCTAACCATTTGTTGTTTGTTTCTCAGCGGTATTTGGGGAGGAGTATGAGGAAGAGGAGGAGGAGGAGGAGGTGGAGGAGGAGGAGGAGGAGGAGGGGGAGGAGGAGGAGGAAAAGGAGGAGGAGGAGGAGGCGCGACGCCCGCGGGGAGGTCCGAAGCGTCCAGGACCACCTCCGGCGGCGCGCCCAAACCCTGAGACCTCAGGGTCTCGGTGTCTTCGAGCCGGGCGTTTGCGCCCCGTTTCGGGCCCTGGGGCCCCTATACATCGATCCGGCTTGGGTAATGGGGCAGGAAGAAGGGGTCTGGGGCTCGGGTCGTGATTTCTTACGGCGCTTCCTTTTTTCGCGCCGTCGGATCTGAGGAAGAGGGGGGGATCCAGGCATCTAGGACCACCTCTGCCGGCGCGCACAACCCAAATCAATGGATAACTGATTTTTGTTACCGCGATCGGTGGCGAGTAATTGGCATTCAACATCGGTCGCGACCGATCGGTCGTGCACGATCGGTCGCGACCGATTTTGAAGCAGCTTAGTCCTGACCGATACCAGAATTTGTAGCAGAATCGGTAGCGATCGATCTCGTCATCCCTGGCCAGACAAATCGGCATCCAATGATCAGGGAAAGGGGGGTGGACCCAGGCATGCTCGCGTCGTTGAAGCCTGATACTGATAGAGCCACGAAGCCCGACCCCTCGGAGCGGAAGTGGGGGCGACTTGCGGGAAAGAGAAAGGTAAGGATGAGGATGAACGCAAGTCACCCTATGTTGGTTCCCGTGCGCTGTTCCCCACTAGAGGCCGTATTTCAGGGGGGATCTTCCAAACCTCCGAAATGAATACTCAACGGGAGACTTCCTGCAACGTCGGGGCAACCTCGGCGGGCTCCGGAACCGTCAAAAAAACGACTCGGGATGAAGAACTGGACCTGGGAAACGGTTGGGACTTCCGAGGACCCCGTCTTCAACAACAAATCAAAGCATCTGATATCTGAGGAGTGAGGGGGTGGGCTTCTAAGACGGCGTGGGGGGCTTCTGAGAAGGCAAGGGTGTTCCTGGAAGCTCTCCAAGCTTCCAGGGCGGCTTCTCACAGAGGCCAGGGGAGGGCCCTTCTGAGAAGGCCCGTGCCTTTCATGGAGGCCTGCAGCGTGGGGCCCCGGGCGGCCCGAGCAGATAGGGTCGGAGGATCCTGCGGCATCGCCGATGCCAACGGCGTGGAGACGATCGGGATCCACATCGAGCTGCGTCGCCTCGAGCATCGGCGATGCGGCGCGATCCTCCGACCCCATCAGCTCGGGCCCCATGGATTTTTCCGTGCGGGCCCCCTCGGAAATCTCGGCCCACTCCCTAGGGGCAGGCTCCTCATCCCGAGCAGCTCTTCGACGGCCCGGGGGTCCAGTGAGGGCCCACAAGACAGAACAAACAAACACACACACAAACAAACAAACAAACAAACAAACAAACAAACAAACAAACAAACAAACAAACAAACAAACAAACAAACAAACAAACAAGCATATCAACAAACAACACAAAACCAACAATCGAGAGGCTGAAACAAACAGCACTGTTCGTCGTGCTCTTTCACGACGCGAGGGGGTCTGCGCAGAGGCCCCCTCCCCATGGCGCGCCGACCCGCGCCAACGCCCGAGCGACGAAGAGAAGCGGGCCCTACGCGAGAAGACACAACGACCTTACGCCGCAGCGTCGCGCGGGACGCTGGCGTGGCACCCCAAGTGGAGATGAAGGCGCTCACGCGCGACCCTACGCCGGAAACTTGCGCGCGAACGTCCGCGCAGTCGACCCGGTTTCTTCTGTCGCTCACCCAAGATCAATCAACATCGAATTGCGAAATCCGATCGAATCGGAATGTGCGTCGGATCGGGCTGCATCGGCACGGAATCGAGGTCGAATCGGATCGGCTGCGCCGAACCAACATGCACAACAACGCCATGCAAACATCTTGCCGCAACGGATCGTCGGAATCCCAGACCTCCGACGTCATGACCTTTTCATGACGTCGACCCCCAAAGGTCTCGACCCCTTCCCTGGGACCGGTTTTCCATCCTGAATTGTTTTTGTTGATGGTCCATGGGTCCCAGTAGTGGCCCGCGGAAGCCGAAAACTAGCAAAACCTTCCGTCGTGAGTATCTGGGCTGTCGGAATCGACTCGGATCGGGCCGGCTGGAACCGATATCGAATCGGATCGATCGGATCGAAGTGGGCCCTCATTCTTCCGTCGCTAACCCGTGTCGTCGTCGTCGTCGTCGTCGTCGTCGTCGTCGTCGTCGTCGTCGTCGTCGTCACCTGGTCCTCGGCGCGGCCCTGCCCCGCGAGTGCGAAGTGCACGCGGAGCTGGGGACCTCTGCGCAGTGCGCGCCAGGCTGGGCCCTGCGCCGTGCCTGGGTCCAGCCGGTCCAGCAGCGCGGGGACGAGGTACTGGTCGACCTCCAGAGTGCGGGAGAAATCGGGACGAAAGTCTTTTGCCGGTTTCGGCGTCTGGGGGCCCTCGCTGGGCCCGTGGCCATCAAAAGGAACCCGGCGCGACTCCAATTGGGAGAAAGCCTATTGCATGGGCGCATCGCTGGGCGCATCGCTTGGCATTGCTTGGCGCTGCTTGGAGCAACCGGGGGCGGTGAACCCGAAGAATCCGGGGCACCCGAAGAACCCAAGGAACCCGAAGAACCGGGGGCGGTGAACCCGACGAACCCGGGGAATCCAAACCTGGGGAACCCGAGGAACCTCCGAGGAACGGGCAACGCGGAAGAACCTCCGAGGAACGGGCAACGTAACAATAGGAGGCACTGGGGCGGGGAACCCGAGGAACCCGGGGAACTCGAGGAACCTCTGGGAAACGGGCAATGCAACAATAGGAGGCGCCGGGGGCGGGGAACCCAAGGAACCCGAGGAACCTGCGGGCAACGGGCACAGTAGGAATACCAAGCACCAACCTTGAACAAAGTCAGAACCCCTTAGGCAAGCCTGATTGGGAAAAAGGATCCGGGACGAACAACTGTTCCCGGGGCAAGGGTCCAGTGCCCTGGGGACACGGCGGCACGTGCAACCCAACCCAGTCACGATCCCAGATCCTCAGAAAGGCAAACAGCGACGGCTGCCCATTGCCGTGTTTTCGCCTGATTGGGTCTCCTGGGAGGCCCTCGTTGCCACGGCTGGGTTCGCCTCGGAATGACTCGTAGAGCTTCTCTGAAAGCACAGGTGCAGAAGCCAAAGTCATTCTGGGACGCCAGCAGGCTAGTAGGCGAAGCAAATCTCGACGGACGTTCTGCAGTCAAGACGGTGGCTGAACATCGATATCTCGAGATGGGTCGAGTCGTTTGGGATGGGACAGAGTTTCTGCACAGCTATGATCACATTCCTGCCCACCATTTTAATACCAGCTCAATCCTGTTGTCTTGAAGGGGGGAACTGCGGCGGAGGCAACTCGTTCTGAGACCATATGTTCTGCACGCGCGCGGTCTTTCGACTTGGACTCGAGATTTAGAACAGATGCAGGGCTCTGCGGTACACGAAAACATCGGGCGTGATCGAAAGCTTTGATCTGCAAGCTCCAGAGATCTGAGATCGGTCTTCCACTCGAACAATATTCGAAACACGCGTACATCTTTGCAACTGCGCTGCTGTTGTGTCGAGCTTGTTTTTCACATATGAATATATTCGTACAACTAAATCTCGTGATTCAGACCCACCTCAGAGCTCTGCCATTTAGGGAACGCGGGCGTAATCAATAGCTCCGCTCTGCCGTCCTCAGAGACCTGAGCCCGGTCTGCTACACGAGGTCGACATAGCTGCATATGCGTGCCATACGAATCTATACAGATATGCATGTATACATGTGTATACATACATACATATGTGTGTATACATCAATATGTGTACATTGGGCTGTATGTATGTATTTACGTATGTATGTGTGTATAAGAGCGTCGATCTGCAGCGTCGAGAAAAATGAGCTTGGTCTGCCATCCGAACTACACTCACACAGATAATATCGCCCTGCTTCTGTCCTGCTGCTTCTTCTGCTTAGCTTCGGGATCGAGATCAGTTACACAGCTCTCCCGCATGGGGAACACGAGCGTGACTCAGAGCTTCGTTCTGCAACCTCGGAGAGCTCGAGCTATACTCGAAACACTCGTATCACTCTGGAACTGTTCTGCTGCTTCGAAACGTGCGTTTGGTCAATTTTAGGATATACGGCAGGCCGAGTTCTTGCTTGCATAAACGGAACGCGGGCGTGCTTACGATGTTAGCTCCGCGGTCTCGAGAGACATGAGCTTGATCTGCCATTCGAGCTGCACTCGGAAACAAGCAATATCAGTCTGCAACTGTTATGCTGCTTCGAACGATGCTTTTGCACGGCTAAATCTCGCGATTCAGGGCAGCTCCCAAGCTTTCTTGTCGAGGGAACGCGAACCAAAGTTTGGTTTGTTCTCTCTTTTCTTTTCCCCGCGCTCCCCGCGGCCGCGCCGTCCGGGGCGCAAGCGGGGCCGTCCGCCGCTTCGCGGGGCCTCGCCGCCGCGGGGGCCGCCGGCGCCCGCCTGGCGCGCGCCCGCTCTGGCGGCGGCGACGCGGGCCGGTCCGGGCCGCCGGGCTCCGTTCGCTGGCGGGCTCGCGGGCGCCCTGGCCGCGGGCTGGTCCCCGATGGCACCATGGAGCTCGAGGCCCAACTGTACCGGGATGCCGCTCACAAGAATTCGACTAGCTTATCCCGGCCAACTTGTCCTCGAGGCCCCAGGCCTTGGGACCCGCGGCGTTGCTGTGGCCGAGGGCCCACTTCCACAGCCGCGGGTCGCGGTAGATGAGATCGTAGCTGCCGTGCCCAGCCATGTTGTTGTACGCGGGGTCTGGTGGAGGCGGCGCCTTCAGGTAGCGCGTGTATCGAACCTCGCCCCGCGCTCGCTTCGCCAGGGCTTCCACAACGGCGTCGTTGCCCCTTTTTCCATCCTCGGCGTTGCCCACCACCCACACGGGCATGCCCTCGAGCGCGTCGGCGACCCTCGGAGGGTACGGGCCGCAGATCGGATTCACGGCCGACCAGAGGCTGCCGTGTTTGGCGGCGAATTCCCACGCGCCGACGCCGCCCTGCGACTGGCCAGTGAGCACCACACGGTTCGGGTCTCCGCGGTAGCGTTGCAGAACGTGCTTGGTGATGTCGAACACCTGCATTTGCGTCTTCTCGCCACGCCACCCCGTGTGAGCGGCATCAGGTAGCCATCCCTGCGGCATGACAACAATTGCTGGGAACGTGTCGGCGAAGTCGCAATCCGCCAGCGGCGCGTCCAGGTGCCGGGCGGGGCCGTCCAATGAGTCGCCCTCCTCGGTGCCCTCCTCCTGGGCCAGCGGGGAGTACTCCTCCTCCAGGCACCAGCACCTGCGGCTGTCGAAGCTGGTGCTCTGATCCGGCGATAGCAATCGCGGGAGGCTCTGCGAATTCATGACGCTGAACTTACCATCGCCGTGCCCGTGCAGGAACACGACTACTGGATACCGCTCTGATCCGTACGCATTCCAGCTCTTCGGCAAGAACAGCTGGTACTCCATGCCTCCGATAGGCTCCATCCGCCTGCGCTGCCCGGCCTCCGCGCTGGCATCAACATCGGGGTCAGGATCGTCCAGAGTGCTGTGCTGCTCGTACCAGGCCTCCTGCTTGCACGCCTCGTGCTCCCCATGGTCGTAGTCCCACCTGGGCGCGCCGCCCGCGCGCTGCGCCGCCGTGCCGAGCGACGGCGGCCGCTCGTCCTAAAATGAAACATGCTCAGAAAATGCAGAGACCTGATACTGCCACGAACCCCGACCTTGCAGGACAAGTGGGCGTGACTTGCGAGGAAGAGGAGAACCAAAGAAGAGGATGCCTACGCTGCGCATAATGCCGATCCCAAGGTTGCCCGTTTGACGCTGCGCCGCTTTCAGGCGTATCATGCCCAGAAAATGGAGAAGAAAAGAGCCTAGAAGAATCGAAACATCGCCCCCCGGCTATCTTTTTTTTTCCCCTTACAACTTCTGAATCTGCTCCCCGTGGTCGTCGCCGCGCACCGGCGAGCCCGCGCCCGGCCGCGCGTGGTGCAGCGACACGCCGAGCGCGCGGGTCAGCAGAGCCGCCGCGGCGAGGCACGGCCAGGCGTCATGCATCGTCCGGGGGGCTTTGGTCCGTGCGGGCTGTGAGTATGTAGAAAGTGCCAGAGAAGCGGCCGCGGCCCTGGGCCAGAAGGGCTACGGAAGGGAGAGCGCGAGCCTGATTGAGAGCTGTGCTCTGCAGTCTCGAGAGACCTGGGCTCGGTCTGCTACTCGAGCTATGTTCGGAAAACGGATTGTCTCGAACGGTGTTTCGAATCAACTTCGACATCTAGATCAACAACCGAGCTCTCCCGTGTAGGGAACGCGGCCGTGAGTAAGACCTTCGCTCCGCACTCTCGAGATGCCTTTGCTAGGTTTGCTACGCGAGCTATTTCCACCAATTCCTTGTATTACTTGGTGTTTGCTGTGCTGCTTCGACCACTATATTTCTTTAAGCTCGGGATCTAGAGCAGCTGCATAGCTCTCCCGCCGACAGACTAAGAGCGCGAATCAACGCCTTGCTCTGCAGTCTCGAGAGATCTGAGCACTGTCTGATATTCGAGCGGTCTTCGAACAACTAATGTTCCCCTGCAACAGCTCTAATGTTCCAAACGGTTTTTAATTAGACGACACGAAGCGGGCGCCAAGGTCGGCTTTGCACTCAGGCTTTACTCGACCAATGATTTCGCTTGCACCTGTTCGCGAGGCAGGCCAAGAAGCTTGGAGAGCTTCCTGCTGGTGTACCGCCGGCCCATTCCTGGTCAGAACGTACCCTGGGAGAGGTCCTCGGAGTAACAGTATGGGTGACACGCAGACGATCCCAAATCCCCGACGACCTTGAGCATCTGGCGTCGCATTTTTTCGCCCCCGGCGATGTCGCCCTATTTCGGGCCCTGGGACCCTCATGGACCGCTTCGGCCCGGAAAACGTAGCAGATAAATTGGGTCTCTAGCTCGCCATGTCGCATTTCTCCGCATCCTGAATGGGTTTCGGTGGGGACTCTCGAACTGGAGCGCACGCCATATGGGGCCCGCACTTCATGTTATCAATCCGAGGCAGCCGTCGGACAACATGTAACTGCCGCCAGTGTTGGATTCCTGGGGCTGGCGCCTCGCCTCTGCGTAAATCGCGCGGGCGTCTCGAGCGGGAGCCCCCTCCCGAAAAGGCCCACACTGGACGTTAGCAGTCCGGAGAGGCCGTCGGGAAACCTGTAACTGTTGTCGCTGGTGTGCCGCTGACGCCTGAATCTTGGAAACGTCCTGAGCGGGAGCAGCGCTTGTGTGGATCGCTGGGGATTCTAGAGCAGGAGCTCCGTCCCTCTGTGGCCCGCGCTTCATGTCAGTGATCCGAGGCGGCCATCGGACAACTCGCAACTGTCATCGCGCTTGTGCTCCCGACGCCTGAACATGAATCCTGAGGAAGGCTCGAGCAGGAACCTCGTCTGTGAATGAGCCGTGAAGAAGTCTACGCCCCCTGTGGGGCCCGCGATTTATGTTACAAATCCGAGGCGACCACCGGGAAGCATGTAGCTATTGTGATTTTTGGGCTCCTGAGACTTTAGATTGAAGACGTCTCTCACGGGAGCCTCGTCAGTGAGTAAAATGCGAGGACGCCTCGAGCGGGAACCCCTTCCATACGGGACCCGCGCGTCATGTTAGTAATCCGAGGATGCCGTCGGAATCCCAACGGCTTCCGTCGGACAACGCGCCATTGCTGGCCGAGGCGGCGACGGCGCCAAGAGAAAGGGACGCGCGCGCCACCGCAGGAGGGACGGGGGAGGTGGTGGACAGGGGGGGAAGGAGGAGGATAGGGAGTGGGAGGTGGAGAGAGGGACGGGGGAGAAGGGGGATCGGGGGGGGGGACGGAGGAGGAGGAGGAGGAGGAGGAGGAGGAGGAGGAGGAGGAGGAGGAGGAGGAGGAGGAGGAGGAGGAGGAGGAGGAGGAGGAGGAGGAGGAGGAGGAGGAGGAGGAGAGGGAGGGGGATCGGATGCCATGGAGAGAGGGGCGGAGGGGGGGAGGTGGATAGGGGGGGCCACAGGCAGGCGGACAAGGAAAAGGCAGAGTAGGGGGCGGGAGGAGGGCCTCCGCCAGGGCGAACAAGCGAAGGGCGATGAGGCGAAAGGACGAACACCTCCGCGGTCTCAAGGGGCGACGACGAGGACTGCGCCCGCGCTAGCCTGGAAGACGCTCGTGTGGGGCCCGACCGCCGTGACAACTGTTGAAGGACGTCGGATCTCAAAGGACGTGGTTTTCCCGCCCGGGCGTCTTACCTCAAGCACTCGGCCACGAGCGACCCTGGATAAGAGTGACCTTTGGTGCTCGGCTCTCTGGGGGCCGCGGGGGGACCAAGCACAGGCGCGCAAGGCGCTGCGATCGCATCGCGTTCGGCACCCGGGGGACCCCAGTGGGCCGGCACCACGGGCCACTCCGGCGAAGGGCCACTCTTACGTGCCTCGGGCGGTCTTCGCTGGTCTTCGGCGATCTTCTGGCGGCTTCTGGCGGTCGTCGGCCGTCCTCTGACGGTCTTCGGCGGTCGTCGTCGGTGTCCGGCGGTCCTCGGCGGCTTCCCGCGGCTTTCTCGGCGAGAAGGCTGGACGGTTTCGGTGCCAGCAAGGGGGGCCCGACGGGCCCGCACCAAAACAAAGGTCACTCCGGCGAAGGGCTGCTCTCATACGTGCAGCCGAATTTCGGCCCCTGGGCCCGCTGCTGCGCCCCGGGGGCTCGCAAACATGCATCCCGCCATCGCTCGGACGTCCACTCCTTGGTGTGTCGTTGTGCATTGTCGGACGTCCACTACTCCGACGTCCACTCCTCGGACGTCCACTCCTCGGTGTAATCGTTTGCATACGTCCACTCCTCGGACGTCCACTCCCGTGCATTTTTCGGCGTCGTTGGTGTGTTCTGCCGCACAGATGGCCCAGTATGCTCCTCGATGGTCCTCGGCGGGAAAAATTGCCCACGTCCGCGCGATGCCAAGGCATCCAGGATGAAACACTACCTCTGGGGACGCCGTCGGGACAGCGGGAGCCGCGGCTTGGAGAAAACAGATCGGCAGATGTCAGGGATGGGAGAGGATCTGCGGTAAGCGAGAGGGGGAAGTGAGAAAGAGAAGGCCTGGTCAGAAGGCCCCCGCGCCTTCTCAAAAAGTTGCCCTGTGTCTCCTGGAAACGCTCAGGAGACTGCTCTGAAGGCTGGGGGCCTTCGGAGCCTTCTGAGAAGACCTTCTCCTTCTCACTTCACCCCCTCGCTCGCCGCCGAGGACATGACGTCGTCGTCGTCGTCGTCGTCGTCGTCGTCGTCGTCGTCGTCGTCGTCGTCGCTCGCCACCGAGCGGGAGGAGCGCCGACCTGGCATCGGCGAGGCGTCGCCGATAGGTCGGCGCGGCGGGGTTGGGGGGCGCAGACCCGGACTGGCGAGGGAGGGCCGCTCGGGGGCCTCGCTGCCCCGACGGGCAGCACGCGACACGTAGCGTGGTGACGCGGAGCCCGACGCGTAGACGTAAGGTCGGGGATGTCCTCCTACAGGCGGATTCCGGAGGACAAATTATTAATAGCCAAAACAAATTTTCAACGATAGTCAAAAATGATAAACCACAATCGTCCCCAGACAATTTTTCATTATCTTCGAATGTGCCACCTGTAGAGGGACATGCCCGACTTAAGCGTAGATTGAACACGTGTGCCTTGAGAGGAGGCAAAGGTACCCATGCCGCTACCCTGGCCTCGTCTTCGCCTTCTTGGGGCTTTCCAGGAGGCTCTCGCCGCCGCCGCAGGATTCGCCTCGGAATTCTGGTCGGTCGGAACGCACCCCGAGAGAGGTCGAGGGAGTAGCGGCATCGGCACCCTTCGGTTTCCCCCCACGTCGGGCGCGATACGCTCGCCAAAACGTGGGCCAGCGCGTGGAGCCAACACGCAACGTGTTCACACGGACGTCTTGAACATGGCACGTGTTGCGTTTTTCAGCATGTGCGTATCAGTCAAGGGGCCCTGGGACACACAAATAAATACACACAAATAAAATAATTCCCCATATTTTACCATATTTTTGGGGTTTCTGTCTTCCCCCCCACTTCCCATATTTTCCTATTTTTTCGGGGGAATCGAGGATTAATTGTGTCTGTGTGTTTCTTTCCCTCCTGAATCAGGGCAGCTAGGTTTGGGGGTCGATACCCCCCCCCCCTGTGCCAGTCCCGCTCTGCCGGCGCCCCTGGCCTTGTTGGGGATCGGCACCAGGAGCCCGAATTGGTGCATCAGCAGCATCAGCTCCTGGAGCGGGCGCAAGAAACGTGGCACTAGAACAGGAACCAAAGAACGTGGCATCAGCTCCTAGAACAAGAGCGCCTAGAACTAAGCTCGGCTCCTAGAACTAGGTTTAGGTCGGGCCTGTCCCCCCACAGGGGGATTTTGGATGCAAAATAAAGCATACTCCAAAAGTAACCCCCCGAATGGTCAAGAGTAGTCAAAAAATCGCCCCCAGAGTATTTTTTGACTGTTCTTTGAATCTTCCTCCTGTAGAGGGACGGGCCCGACTTAGGCTTAGCTCAGGACACAGACCTCAGAAGCCCACGCGGGTTTGTTGGATCGGCGCTGGGCCTGCGGAGCGCGCCGGGGGCGGCGCTGGAGAGGCACCGCCAAAGGGGGCCCGGCGCCGCTCCGAGAAGCCCTCGCGGACACCGCGTGTGTATGCGCGTGCAGGATCTGTGTTCGGGTCGGGCGAGAGGGGGGGATAGCAAAGGGAGGGTTTGAGCATCAGCTCGCGTAGCTGATTTCCCCGCGCCTCCCGGCGCCGGAGGCGACTATGTATCGAGGGATGGGCCCCTCGGTGGGGCCGAAACCAGGTGCATGCAGCAAATTTCGTACCCCCCCCTTTCCTAATCCCCCCCTTTCGTCCGGCCCGATATGTGAGGTGGTCCCGGGGCCCAGCAGGGGGCCCCGGAGGCAGTAATCGACGAGCACGCCTGGACTGAACAAACTAGATCGTCGGAGGCACATATGGCGAAGTCAAGAAACTCTGAACCCCGAAAAATGTTGTCCTCTCTTGGGAGGTCCACGTCTGCTTCCGCCGGTTTCCGCCGGCGGAGACGGCCTCGCTCTGCTTCCGCCGCCTCACGCGCGACCTTACGCGGGCCGCCTACGCGCGACCTTACGCGGGCCGCCTACGCGCCAACGTCGGCGCAGTCGACCCCGCTTCGTCCGTCGCTCGCCTGGTTAGGCGGCGAGCCCAGGGGGGAATGGAGAAGGAGAAGGCCTTCTCAGAAGGCTCGGAAGTTCCCGGGACTTCTGAGAAGTTTTCCAAGCCTTCCCCGAGGACAGAAAAAACTTCTCAGAAGGCCTCCGGCCTTCTGAGAAGTCCCGCCGCCTTCTGAGAAGGCCTTCTCCTTCTCATTTCCCCCCCTCGCTCGCCGCCGACTGGTTTTTCTCTTCCTCCAGGTCGACGTCATGCGGCTCCTGCTTGCCGCAGGCCTGCCCACCCAAAAGCACCCCAGCCTCCGCGGCAGGGCGCGCTCGCTCCGCGCGGGCCTCCGGGCCATGACTGCTCCGTGGCGTCGACCCCGCCGGGGAATGGGCCGAGTGACCCGAGACATCGCTACAAATCACGACGCTCGGCCCCCCTGGAGTCATGAACAAAATCACGACGGCCAAGTTTTTTATCATATACGGCCTCTGGAGGCCCTCGCCGGGCCTCGGGACCATCAACCTGATATTGCCACGAACCCCGACCTTGGATGACAAGTGGGCATGACTTTCGAGGAAGAGAAAAATCAAAGAAGAGGATGCCCATAGGGCGCATTCCCTTGCGCCGTCTTGGAGACGTCTTGGGCCGTCTGGGCGCTCTCTTGGGGGCCTCTCAGGCCGTTTTGGGGCGATCTTTGGGGCCTATTGGGCCGTCTTGGAACGTCGGGAGGCCGATAAGGCGAAAACGCGAAAAACCTGCAAACACCTCAGGAAAACACATGGATTTTGACTCTTGGGGCTCTCTGGGGGGCCTCTTGGAGGCCTCCCGGGGCGTCTATTTCTGGCCGTCAAGAGGCCATCTTGCACGGTCTGGACCGATCCTTCGGCCTGGACCATCTTGGGGCCGTCCGTGCCGACGGGAAGCGCATCGGCCGTCTCCCGCCGGCTTCCGCCGGCGTTCCGCCCGTGGCCGGGGCTGTATCCCGAACCCCCTCCAGACCCCCTCCCAGGGGAACGCACAGCGCGAAGCCCTCCGCAAAATCGGGGGCAAAAACGACGCAGGATGAGAAGCCGATCCAGGGGAATGGGTCGAGGCCTCTGGAGGTCGACGGTATCAACAAAATCATGACGTCGGGTGTTTGGGCCAAAGGCCTGGACACCAGGTCTCTGCGCCACATTCCGAGCCAGATCGATTCGTGAGGGCCCCGGGGCCCGAGATCGTGCGAAAAGGCCCAGTTCGAGGAAATACGATGCCAGATCCCAGACCCCCAACGACATGAATCTTGCAGAGCACCAACCCCCTGAGGTCTCGACCCATTCCCTGGGACGGCTTCTTCCTCCTGAATCGTTTCGTGGCGGTCTTGGCGGCCCTGGTAAGGCCTCCCAGATGCCGAAAACAACCACTCGCCGAAGGATTGCAAAAAAACGAAGGATTGCAACAAAAAACAAGGATTGCAAAAAAACCCAGGGTTTTTTTGCAATCCAGGTTTTTTTTTTGCAATCCAGGGTTTTGTTGCAATCCTTCGATTTGTTGTTCGTGACCCGCGGGGGTCCGGGCCGTTCCTCTCTTGGAGCTCCTGCTGGCCACGCGCGCAGGGGGGCCAGGGGGAGGGGGGACGGCTTCCCAGAGGCACCCCCGGGCCTCATGTGCATGGCCGGTACGGCAGGGTCGTGTCGTGCCGACCCCAGCGTTGGTTTTTGACACCGCAGGGATCGTTCAACCTTGAACGATCGGCCGCTGCCGCAACGTCCGATCGTTCAACATCGATCGATTCTGGGTCGCCGGCGGCGTTCAAACTTGAACGCCCGCGCTGGGGTCGCCGCTGGTCGACACGACGCAAACCTACCGTACCTTCTCTGAGAAGCAGCCCCCAAGAAGCCTTCTCCCTTCCCCCTGCCCCCCTGGGCCCGCCAGCTCAAACATCCGGCGTCTCGATTTTGTTCGACACGGGCCCCCGACTTTCCGGCCACTTCCCTGGGGCCGATTTTTGGTCCCGGGTCCTTCTTTGACGGTCCCGAGGACCGGCGAGGGCCCCGAGAGGCGGAAAACGTCGAAAACCTGATATTGTCACGAACCCCGACCTTGGAGGACAAGTGCGCGTGAATTGCGAGACAGAGAAAAACGAAGAAGAGGATGCCTATAGGACGCATTCTGCTGGTTCCCGTGTTGTCCGCTTGAAGCTGTGCAACTTTAAGGCGCATTATGCTGGTTCCCGTGTTGTCCGTTTGACGCTGTGTCACTTTGTCGGGGCGTCTCCAACCATCTTGTCAACAGGGAAGTCTTCGGGCCCCCTGCGGTGCGTCTCCGACCATCTCGGGGCCCCCCTCTTAGGCAGTCTTGGGGCCCACTTCAGGGCCTCTGGGGGCTTCCTGGAGACCTCTTGGAGGCTTTTTTGGGGCTCGGCCTCTTGGGGCCTCCTGGAGGTTCTTGGGGCGGAGAATCCACAATGTCGGTCCTTCCTCCCCCCTTTGGGGCTCCTCTTGGGGCGTTCCTGGGGCCTGCTTGCGCCGTCTTGGAGGCCCCTTGCGCCGTCTTGGGGACGTCTTGGGCCGTCTGGGCGCTCTCTTGGGGGCCTCTCAGGCCGTTTTGGGGCGATCTTTGGGGCCTATCGGGCCGTCTTGGAACGTCGGGAGGCCGATAAGGCGAAAACGCGAAAAACCTGCAAACACCTCAGGAAAACACACGGATTTTGACTCTTGGGGCTCTCTGGGGGGCCTCTTGGAGGCCTCCCGGGGCGTCTACTTCTGGCCGTCAAGAGGCCATCTTGCACGGTCTGGACCGATCCTTCGGCCTGGACCATCTTGGGGCCGTCCGTGCCGACGGGAAGCGCATCGGCCGTCTCCCGCCGGCTTCCGCCGGCGTTCCGCCCGTGGCCGGGGCTGTATCCCGAACCCCCTCCAGACCCCCTCCCAGGGGAACGCACAGCGCGAAGCCCTCCGCAAAATCGGGGGCAAAAACGGCGCAGGATGAGAAGCCGATCCAGGGGAATGGGTCGAGGCCTCTGGAGGTCGACGTTATCAACAAAATCATGACGTCGGGTGTTTGGGCCAAAGGCCTGGACACCATATCTCTGCGCCACATTCCGAGCCGGATCGATTCGTGAGGGCCCCGGGGCCCGAGATCGTGCGAAAACGCCCAGTTCGAGGAAATACGATGCCAGATCCCAGAGCCCCGACGACATGAATTTTGCAGAGCACCAACCCCCTGAGGTCTCGACCCATTCCCTGGGACGGCTCTTTCATCCTGAATCGTTTCGTGGCGGTCTTGGGCCCTGGTAAGGCCTCCCAGATGCCGAAAACAACCACTCGCCGTGATTTGTTGTTCGAAGGATTGCAAAAAGGCTTGCAAAAAGGTTGTTTTTTTTTTGCAATCCAGGGTTTTTTTGCAATCCAAAAGACCCGCGGGGGTCCGGGCCGTTCCTCTCTTGGAGCTCCTGCTGGCCACGCGCGCAGGGGGGGGTAGGGGGAGGGGGGACGGCTTCCCAGAGGCACCCCGGGCCTCATGTGCACGAAGGATTGCAAAAAAAAAAACCGAAGGATTGCAAAAAACCCGACGGATTGCAAAAAAACCTTCGGCCGGAGGTTTTTTTTGCAATCCTTCGAAGGTTTTTTTTGCAATCCTTCGGCCGGTACCTTCTCTGAGAAGCAGCCCCCTAAGAAGCCTTCTCCCTTCCCCCTGCCCCCTTGGGCCCGCCAGCTCAAACATCCGACGTCTCGATTTTGTTCGACACGGGCCCCCGACTTTCCGGCCACTTCCCTGGGGCCGATTTTTGGTCCCGGGTCCTTCTTTGACGGTCCCGAGGACCGGCGAGGGCCCCGAGAGGCGGAAAACGTCGAAAACCTGATATTGTCACGAACCCCGACCTTGGAGGACAAGTGCGCGTGAATTGCGAGACAGAGAAAAACAAAGAAAAGGATGCCTATAGGACGCATTCTGCTGGTTCCCGTGTTGTCCGTTTGACGCTGTGCCGCTTTGTCGAGGCGCCTCCAGCCGTCGTGGGGCCCTCTTAGGTTGTCCTGAGGCCCTGTTGGGCGCTTCTGGGGGCTTGCTGGAGACCTCCTAAGGTGAGCTCAGGAAATCGCCATACGAGCTAGGAAGTCTCGGGGCTGTCCGTTTGTCGCTTTCAGGCTTTGTCCAGGCACTTCCAGCAGTCCTGGAGCCGTGGGGCAGTCCTGGGGCCCTCTTGGGAGCTTCTGGGGGCTTCCTGGAGGCGTGGTGAGGTCTTGAGGCTTGTTGGGGTCGTCTTGGGGGCCTCTCGGGGCCTCCTCAGGTCCTTCAGCCGTCCTGGCGCCCTCCTGAGGGAGTCCCGGGCTGTCCGTTTGTCGCTCTGACGCTTTGTCGGGGCGCTTCCAGCAGTCCTGGGGTCTTGGGGCAGTCCTGGGGCCCTCTTTTTTTTCGGGGGGGGGTCCCAGGAGTTGAGGAGTGTGAAGGCGCCAGCGAGTGCCACGCGCCCAGAAGTCGTGCAAGGCTTCGAGTGCCCGCATTCGGCCCTGCGACGTGGGCAGAAAAACAAAAACACGCCTGCTGCAGCCGAGCGCTGGCCTCCGAAGGTTTCGGTGCCACGCACTGAACGCATGGCAGCTGGGGCGGCGAGGGTACTCAATGAACAATGGGAGGCAGTGGGCACAGCCCTCGCTCGAAAGCGTGGAGCAAAGACTGACATGAAAAAATCCTCAAATATTACAATGTTGAACGAAACAAAGTCAGTGGGAAGGGCACGGCCGGCCGACCAGGTATTTCCAGTCGGTCGAAGAGGCCTCAGGCACCCGGGCCCTCGAAATGAGCACCTCGGGTTCATGTGGCCAGGGAAGCTTCCCACTTAGAAACATTGAAACTTGCTCATACTGAATACTGATCTAGCAAATGCGAAACTACGTGAAGCTCTGCCGCCGATGATGATTCACGGCTGCGTGCAGAGATTCAAGCGAGCGCACTAAACAAATCCCTCTTTTCACATGGCACGCCTTGATCGCGCGGCCTGGCTGGGCTGCCCGCTAGGAGGGCAGCTCGTGGAGGGCCCGTCGCCGCCAACCGGCGCGCTCTGGGGCGCGCTGCGCGGTGCCCGCGTCCTCGTCCTCGTCCTCCTTGGCCTCCCGCGCGCTCCCCCCTATCCCCCACATCCCGCGCATCCAATGAAAATGTCAACCGCGCGTTTATTAGGCAGCTGGCCTCGGGGCGATGAAAGGGTGAAACTTGGGGTTCTTAATGCGGCGCAGCCGGCTCGCCTTCCACATCCTGACGTTCTCCGAGTAGCCCTGCGTCGCCGACGCGGTGACCTCGATCACGGTCCCGCTGGTTCCAGCACCGGCAACTCCAGTCAGTCGCGATCCGTTCCACAAGACGGAAAACTCGCGGGCGTCGCTTGAGGCGGCAAAATTCACAAATGCGATCCCTCTAGTGGTACCGCTGTCAAAAGTTGCCGGCATGTAGGCGTAGTCGTAGCGGTTCTTGAAACCAGCCCTGTCGATGAGGTCCAGCAGGTCACGCTGCGTAACAGACATTGGGATGTTGAGGATCATGAGCGTGGTGATTGCTGGAGCGCCAGGGGTGGCGGGCGCCGCCTCCTCGGTGGCTGCCAGCATGCTGTCAACGAGCTCGCCCTGCTGAAGCTCCATCTCCGCCAGGTCGGCCTGCTGCTCGCGGATCCTGCGCCTGAGGTCTTGGGCCTGCTGCTGGACCTGGGCCAGCAGCTGCTCCTGCGCCAGGAGCCGGGCCCGCATGTCTGCCAGCGCCGTGGCGGCCGCGGGCGTGCCACTGGAGGCCCCTGCCCGCCCTCCGCTGGCCGGCTGTCTCGCCCGCGCCGCGCGGTCTGGCTCGCCGGGGGGGCCCGCGGCCAGCCACGTCTCGGCGGTGGAACGCGGCGGCATGCCGGGCGGCCTGGTCGGTGAATAGGCTGGCGCCGCCCCCGCGGAGCGATCGGGCAGAAGAGCGCCTACTGTGGTCAGAAGCAGAGCGCCCCCGCGCGGGTGGTCGAACTCGTCAAAGGTCTTCCTAGACTCGCCGCCGCTCGACTGCAAAATGGGGGGGTCTTCCTGCCTGCGCGGCAGCGACTGGCCATGGAGCAGCAGAACGCCTCCAGGCCGAGATGGCAGCTGCGCATCGGCCGCAGAGGGGGCGCCGCCAAGGCCCAACTGGGCTGAATCCTGCGCGTGTTCGGATGGGTTGCTGCTTTGGATTTCTGCCCGCCGACGCCCGCGTGGGTCGTCGAACTCGTCAAAAGTATTCCACGACTCGCCGCCGCTCGACTGCAACATGGGGTGGTTTTCCTGCCGGGCAAGCTGCGACTGCATGGAGACCGGATGCATGGTGGGCAGTGAGCCCCAACTGGGCAACGACGTACACATGCCACCTGATGCTTGGTCGAATTGGTGAGAGAAAGTGTAGGTCTCAAAATACTCATCGCTGTGAAAGCACTGAGATGAGGCACGCCTCGTGAACGAGTCCATTGTTTGCAATGGTAAGCGCCGAATCGGTGCAATTAACTATATCAGAGGGCACGCGCAAGATATCCTGACCAGAAGGCTCTTGAGCCCCAAATTGAGCCAAAATGGCTACGGGCAGTCCTGGGGCCCTCTTGGGAGCTTCTGGGGGCTTCCTGGAGGCGTCTTGAGGTCTTGAGGCGTCTTGGGGTCTTCTTGGGGTATCATCACGTTCCCGTGTTGTCCGTTTGACGCTGTGAGGCTTTGTCGAGGAACCGCCAGCCGTCTTGGGGTTATCTTGGGGCAGTACTGCGCCCACCTTGGGCGCTTCTGGGGGCTTGCTGGAGGCCTCTGGAAGGTTCTTGGGGGCCTTTTGGGGCCTCTTCAGGCGTTATTTGGGCCTCTTGGGAACTTCTTGGGAGCTTCTGGGGGCCTCTGGAGTGGTGATTGGGGCGGAGAACCCGAAACCTCGGATTTCGTCGGAGGTTGTCAGGAACGTTTCTGAAGAAAAGGTGGCCACGAAACGACGATGCGTCTTGGAAGTGGGCTCAGTACGCGACTAGGCGAGTTACGAGGTGAGCTCAGCACGTGTCCATGCGAGCCACATGGAAGGGAGGGGGTGAGCTCAGCTCGCGACCGTGCGAGTCACGAGGTGAGCTCAGTACGTTTCCATGCGAGCCACAGGGAAGGGAGGGGGCGCGGTTACATATGACGGGCGAGAAAATTGAGTTTGGAGAATCTGGGGGCTCCTGGGGGCCGTCGGGTTTGGTTGGAGGTTGTGTCGGGGATGTGTCTGACTGTATAAGGACTGGATTGGACAACTTGCGGCGGTCGGGGGCCGCATGCGGCCGTACTGAAGCCTCCTGGAGGCATCTTGTAAGGCTTTCTGGCAACACGAAAACTCGCTTGGGGTTTCTCTGCGACAGCTGTCCAGAGGGAAAGGCGGCCAGAAAAACAACGGTGCGTCTTGGAGGTGAGCTCAGAACGCGACCGTGCAAGCCACGGGGTGAGCTCAGCACGTTTCCATGCGAGCCCAGAAGAGGAAGGCCAAGGAGCGCATTACATTGGATCCAGTGTGGTCCGAGTGACGCTGTGCTGCTTTACGCGCATTACATGGGTTCCCGTGTTGTCCGCTTGACGCCTTGACGCTTTGTCGAGGGGGGCCCTCTCGGTGCTGTCCTGAGGCCCTGTTGGGCGCTTCTGGGGGCTTGCTGAAGACCTCGTAAGGTGAGCTCAGGAAATTGCCGTACGAGCCAGGAAGTCCCGGGGCAGTCCGTTTGTCGCTGTGACGCTTGGGGGCCTCTTGGGGCCTCCTCAGGTCCTTCAGCCGTCCCGGGGCCCTCCTGAGGGAGTCCCGGGGCTGTTTGTTTGTCGCTCTGACGCTGTGTCGAGGCGCTCCCGGCAGTCCTGGGATCTTGGGGCAGTTATGGGGCTCTCTTGGGGGCTTGTCGGGGCTTTATGGAGGCGTCATGAGGTCTTGAGGCCTGTTGGGGTCTTCTTGGGCGTCACTTGGGGTCTCATCAGGTTCCCCTGTTGTCCGTTTGACGCTGTGAGGCTTTGTCGAGGAACCGCCAGCCGTCCTGGGGTTATCTTGGGGCAGTACTGCGCCCACCTTGGGCGCTTCTGGGGGCTTGCTGGAGGCCTCTGGAAGGTTCTTGGGGGCCTCTTGGGGCCTCTGCGCGGGTTATTGGGGCCTCTTGGGGGCTTCTTGGGAATTTTTGGGGGCCTCAGGAGGGGTCATTGGGGCAGAGAACCCGAAAAATCGGCCCCTGCCTCCGTTCCAGGGGCTCTGTTTGGGCGACGGCCCAGAGAGGCGGAAAACGTAGAAAAACGCAAGTTCGATTTTCTCGAGACGCCGCCAGTCCTGCTGGTGGTCCGAGAAGTCTTGGCTTTGCCAGAGGATGTCGAGCACGCACTTGTGCAGGACCCCGCCGCCCTGCGCCAGCTCCTTCCAGGAGGGGGACCAGGGGGAGGAGGAGGAGGAGGAGGAGGAGGAGGAGGAGGAGGAGGAGGAGGAGGAGGAGGGAGGAGGAGGAGGAGGAGGAGGAGAGGAGGAGAGGAGGAGGAGGAGGAGGAGGAGGAGGAGGAGAGGAGGAGGAGGAGGAGGAAGGCAGCACAAGCAGCAGCAGCAACAGAAGCAACATCAGCAGCAACAGCAGCAGCAGCAACACGAGCAGAAGGAGGAGGAGGAGGAGAGGAGGATGAGGAGGATGAGCAGGAACTGGAGGAGGATGGGGAGGAGGAGGAGGAGGAGGAGGAGGAGGAGGAGGAGGAGGAGGAGGAGGAGGGGAGGAGGAGGAGGAGGAGGAGGAGGAGGAGCACGAGGAGGCTCACTTGCTCGCTAATTGCGCGTGGCCTCGTCTCGAGTGGTTCGATGGGGTCTGTGGCCGCAGGGCGTTCGGGAGGCACTGTGCTCCCGCCGATGCCAAGATTCTAGAGGGGGGGGGCCCTCCCCCAGCAATCAGCATGGGGACTCCACGTTTGCAGCACAGGGTCGAAGAGCCCGCGCGTGCAGATGTCACCTCAGAGACGCAGAGGGGACAAGAGGGACACAGCGGCAGCGGGAGGGCAGCGAAAGCAAGGGGAAACAGGGGAGAGGTCGGCCAGCCAGGCCGAGAAATATTCAATGGAGGGTGCAGCATGCCCCCGCGACAGTCGACGAAGCAAAGGGCCTCGTTCAGAACCCCCGCGATACAACATATCGCACTGGACGACTTGCCATTCGATTTGCCAATACCTTCGAGCTTTGTTTCGACGGCGGCCTTTGGGGCGCACCAAAGGGCCCCACCCTCCCCGAAATTGTACTCGACCGCGCTCGGAGACAGATCCTAAGGAGGCCAACTGTGGCCCATTCGGAGGATTCAGAAGGGGCGGAGGAGGAGGCCTCGACGGGGGAGGATTGGGGACTGGGCTCATTGGCGCTTCCTGTGACGGCCTCCTCCGAGCATCTTCTCCAACGAATTCTGGCAGCGCCTCTCCTGGGTGGTCTTCGGGGGTGGCCCCAGCTTCGGCGTGCTGCCAAAAGGGGGGTGGAGGGAGGCCCCAATATCCTTGAAGTGCAGCGCGAGCATGGGCGCTGCGCCGAGCCATTGCCCGCGCTCTGGCCCTGACCAGACCTGATCTAGTTGTAGCCCTGGAACGCATCAAACACAGTATGGAATAGATCTATGCCTAGGGCTATACTAACAAGGGCAGGCATCTCCAGGGAATTCCAAACTCCAAAAAATAACATCCTAGACGGGCCCCCAGAGCCCCAAGACTCAGGCAGGAGGGGGGGGGGGGGCGGCGGCTTTCACAGCAGGCAGAAGACGAGGGCACTGCAGGAAATTAACCAGTACGTCACCCAACGCTTTACCACAACACCAACAAATTTTCGTAGGGGATAGAATACCAGGCCGAACAGCTCCAATAGTTCAAGATCGTTTTGATAACCGAGGAGAAGACGGACGCACTGGGGAAATAACCCAGTGAGTAAGGGCATCCTTGCAACCGTCAAGAAGGCCTCCTGCCGGGAAGCATTGCCACGGAACTTCTGGAGCCTCGAGAAGAGCGTCTCCCCGATCGTCGGCGCATCACCAAGCCGTCGGATCACGCGCATGATAGGTTTGGGCATGCAAGCGCGGGCAGGCAGGGGAACGAGAGACAGCGCGGAGAGACTTCGACTCGGTCTTGACAACCATCAGATACCGAAGAATGGATCCAGTGAAATACGGCTTCCCCTTATTATTTTGTGATCGAGACTTCGGAGAAGCATGCTTACTTGGATTATATACTTGCTCCGTCTCTGCCATATCTTAAACGAGATACGCGGTGCTCCCCAGCCGACTGGGCGCGACGGGGCGGTAAGAACCCCCCCAAAGTCACGGCCCCTGTGAGGCGTGGGGCCGCGAGGGAAAGGGCGCTGCCTCGGACTGCCTATGGTCCCTCACTTCTCCTCCTCCTCCCCCGTGCCCTGGATGAGCTTGTTCACCCGGCGGGCGAGCTTCCCGCGACGCGCCTTCCCGGCCCGCCTCGTGCCCCCCTGGCTGCGCAACATGCTGGTCACCAACTGCTGGATTCCGACGCTCCTCAAGTTCGCCCCCGCCCGGGGGATGCACTCGTCGGAATCCAAAATCACGCAGGTCTCGGCCCACTGCAGCAGGCCCTCCTCCTCGTCCGCTACGTCCTTCATGGCGTTCTCGCGCTCCTCCAGGCTGGTCGTGCTGGGAAGGCCGACCTCCCCTACCATGTGGTACACCGCCCGGGTGTTCTCTGCCTGGTTGGGTTGGTGGTGCATGTCGGCTATTCTGAAGCTCCGGAGCCATGCCGTCACGGCCTCGAGCTGCTGGGTCTTGGCCGCCACGGCCAGCGCATGCAAGGCGAGCCCCCGCGCGCGCTGCACCGCGTCCTTGGACTGCAATGCCTCTGCGGCCAGCGCCGCGAGCACGCCCATGCCCACGCGCAAGTGCGGGGGGCCGCGCTTGTGATTCGGGTCGCCCTTGACTGCCGCCGCGTACTGCGTAATCACGCTCTGGCCCTGCTCCACGATGGGGCTGGTTTTCGACATGGCCAGCGCGTCGAAGACGACGTTCTCGAGCTCGCGGACGCGAGCTTCCAGCTGCTCCAGCCGCTTCAGCACCAGCTGGAGAGTGGTGCCGGCCCCCCCCTTCTTCGGATCTAGCTGGAGGGCCGCGCCCAGCGCCCCCGTCTTCGCTACCTTGGCATCTCTTCCGCCGCCGTTCCCGCCGGCGCTCGCTGCTCCACCGGCCTGGGCTGGAAGCTCCAAAGAGCCGCGCTTCATGCTCTGGCGTGTCGAACTTTATCGCATGCTCCTCTGAGAGTTCCGAGCCGAGATGGCACTGAACAAGACGATGATACAATTGCCAACGAAATTGATGAGACTGGTCGCAAATTGGACAAACGTTTGGTTCTGGCCAAACCACGGGCTCAAACGCATGACATTGATCAGCTATGCACCGCTTGTTTTTTAGACTGCGCTCAAGATGTCGTTGGGCCACGAATTTCTTCTTGAAAGATGGCAAACATAAAATACACTGGTTCGCGATGGTCACTCGATAAGGAAGCGGGCCCCCCCGCGCGATCCACCTTTCACGTTGCGCTGGCGCGTCTTCAACCCTTTGTGCGTTGAGAAAGTCCCCCCGCAGACACTTCCCTCAGCCTTCGTCAAATTACAAATGAAATTGCCGACCGAAGGAGGTGGGAGTTTACCAGCGACGTGTTCAGGAGGTGGGGCGGCACGACTACCGTATTTAGCTCGAAGTTGCGATGCATCCAGACGAAGAGATGCTTGTTTGTGCAGTCGAAATAATAGAAAAAACCATTCCCCCCATCAACGGAAAGCTCCTGCAGAAGATAACTTCCCTCTTCGATCTCTCCCAACTGCAGCAAATCATCCCGGAACTGCTCCGCCCAGGGGTTCCCATTTTCAATCGAGCCTTGTGCGTTGAGGAACTCCCCATCCAGAAGTGGGAGCACTCCAAAACCCTCTGCTAGGGTCTGTCCGCGTCGCCCGGGATGCTGCGCAAGATCTTGCAGCCATCGCAATCGTTGAACCCGCAATTCCAGGGATGTGGGGACGAGGCGAGCTGTTTTTCACACTACCTCATTTTTCTCTGACTTGGGATGGACAGCGCCATTTTCAATGAACGTCTTGTGCGCTTTTCTCCCAAGCATTTTGCGCAATAGCCCTAACAGGACGACGTCTATGGCGTGCACGTCCTGCTATGAGAGAGGCCCATTCGCCCCCGCACAAGATGTGGGCCCCGAAAGCGCAGCACCCTGAACCATCGCCCGGAATACCTGGACCTTCAAGCGTAGGGGTGTCTTAGTGTACCAATATCGTCCCATACTTGCCCACGCAGTTCGGGAAGCTGCCACCCGACGGCCCCGCTCGGGCCCGAAGAGGAATCGGTGAACTTGCCGGCCCCCCAGATAACGAGCGTCAGAAACGGTCCTCCCCTCCAGCTTTTTCCCCGTATAAATCTCACGAACCAAGTTCTGAGGGCCATCTACAACGTTCTCCTGCTTGCTTAAATTCGCACCCACTCCTACTCGTTCAAAATGTTGGGATACTATCGTTTTTTTTTTTTTTTTTTTTTTTTTTTTTTTTTTTTTTTTTTTTTTTTTTTTTTTTTTTTTTTTTTTTTTTTTTTTTTTTTTTTTTTTTTTTTTTTTTTTTTTTTTTTTTAAAAAAAAAAAAAAAAATATATATATATATATAAAGAAGAAAACGTCTTCCAGAAGCTCCTGAACCTTCTGAGCCAGAATGGTATCCCCGATGTCATCGATAAAGCTCGTGAGCCCCAAAGGGTAGGATTATCCATCGAGCGGGTTCATGGCGTCCAGGTGAGACGTCGTGGGAATACTCGCATGCAGCGCAACACTCATTGCATCCACACCGTTCGCATGGCCTGTGACAAAAATCCTGGGCCCAGCATGGTCACCAGGCATAACTCCCTGACGCGCCCGCGCACCAGTGCTCGAGGCACGCGACATCTGAATATGAGCATGCTTTACTCGCTGCGCGAAGAAACCGGCCGTCATCGGGCCCGTACTTTGCAGCGACTCGAGAACAACATGTTGATCAATGCTCCAAAAAGCGTTGGTCCCATCATGGAACCGAGAGAGTGCTAACCATCCCTGCTTCGCTGCGCGCCAAGCGGCAACTCTCTTGATCATCGTCGGCTCCTCCTGGCGACGGCCCGGCAACCCTCCGTAGGCGTACATGGGCTCACGCTGCGGATTTGCCTTGAGCAAGCTCCGGTAGAACGTGCGGCCGACCCCGCACAATATGACGATCAGCCTCTCTCCCGGAATGCCAGGCTTGCCGTTGTCCTTGTTCCTTGTCAAGTCTCGCACCCAGACCCCGATGCCACACCATCGGTGTTTGTCCACACTGATGTGTTTTTGCCAACACGGAGGCAAACGAACGGGCGAAGCAAGGAACAC